GCCTCTTTCTCTCTCTTTATCTTTCCCTCTCTCTCTCTGTATACTTGTTAATCCCACTCACTTTCACTATTTTCTATTTCTTTTGCATTGATTACTCTTATTATAAAGATTTCTCTCTCTCTAAGTTTCTTTCGTCTGTCTATATCTGTTCCTATAACATCTACCCATCTAACTCCTCTCATATACGATATTCGTCATCGCTACCTACTAAAAGATTTTTTCTAGAACACTAGATATCACTTTCTGTAATTTACAAATTATCAATGTAAAAGTAAAGAAAGTACATTTTTGTTTCCCACAAGAGCAAACTTGAAATCTTCAGTTGTATAGATAGATGATGCCATTCTGTTCACCTACTTCATGCTTCATCTTCTCATTGTCTTCTTTTGCATCGTTCCTTCCCCCGTAACATGAACGAATATCTGTTCATTCATTTACTTTTCCAAGAAATTTCAATGAAGTCTCTACGTCAACCAATCATATTCCCTTCAGCACAGAAATAGAGAGAGAGAAAGCGAATGAGGACATATAGCTGAGCAACGGTGATAAGACGAAATCTCATCAATGCCTCATACGTAGTCTAAACTAATTAAAACATTTTTAAGCTTTAAACTCTACAAATGAAAGTTGCTATTTGTGGTTATTGTTAGATGAAAATGAATGAAAATGCTTTAAAGCCTTCTTGTTCTCCTTTCAACTTCTGATGAATGTAAATGACAGTTTTATAGGAGAGAAGGAAAAAAATGGAAAATTCAATTAGATGTTTCATCTCTTGCAAACATGAAACAAAAAAAAAAAAAGAAAAAAAATTCCTTTTTTCTGATGTTTCGTTTCATGTTTGTTTGTTTCTTTTGATAATGACATGTGGATGAGAGGAGACAACACAACCAATGCCATCAGATGAGATGAGATCTCACTCTCTCTCTTACACACATCGAGCTTTGAAGTTTGAAGACAACGTCACCTTTTATATAATTATCCACAAAATTAGTTTGATTATAATGACTTGTCTTAACTCTTATTTCATTATCTTGTTCTGCTCTCTTCTCCTCCCCCCACTTCTTATTCTTCCCTCTTACTTTCTCTCTCTCTCTATCTTTCCCTCTTGGCCTCTCTTCGTTCCTATCATCGTCACTTTCGTCTTTTCTTTTTTTTTTCATTTGCCATGCTGACACCCCGCAAATCTTCCTCATCTTTCTAAGGCAATCCGTTTTCAAGCAAGTACTTACACATGATTTCTCTTCCTCTCTCTCTATGTCTCATCTTACGGAAGAGAGTTAGCCTGATCCAAGGTTTAAAATATATTTCTTTTTTTCTTCCGGTTATCAGAATGTGCAACGAGCATGGAGCTTGTTGGATAGATGATTGCTGATGAGCATGCTCTCTTAGCTTCATCGTCTCATCTGTAGACTTTTGTTTTTTAATTCAGAACTTTGAAATAAGAAAGTTGATGAAGTCCAACAAGTCTTCTGAACATTTCATCAAATCTCTTTTTTTTTTGCAAAATTTTTTGTTATCTCTGTTTAAAGAGTCTGTAGTTCTTTTAGATCCTCTGTACATCTCTTCTCCTCTTATTTCTTCTGTATCATCAAAATTCTCTGTCAATCCCCCCCTCCTTCTCCCTCTTCTACTATCTCTCTGTGTTTCTCATTTTCATCAGAAATTACTTGTTGCATTCAGTTGTTAGTCATTTTTACTTGATGGACAACTATTTTCATTATTAGTTTTCTCTCCGAATTACTCCTTCACTCTATTCGATACTTTCTCTTCCTCTCTCTCTCTCTTCATCATCTCTCCTTAACCAACTTCTTCGTTATCCATCCACACCCCCCACGTTTCATCTGAGAAATTGAGATGATGATGATGAGAAACGATAGCAGTTTATAACGTAAAGTGTTTCAAAAACATCCTTCCAAAACCTCTAATAGAAAACATGAAGAAGACATCTTATATAAGTTTCATGTCAAACTTTGCAAACGAGATTGATAGAGAGAGAGGGAAAGAGTTTGAGAGAGAGAGAGAAATCAGTAGATAGATGTGACGAGATGAAGTAATATAAGGGTGCGGGGGGTGCAAGAAGCTTCAGAGGTATTTCCTGGGAAAATTTTAAATGAAAAAATGTAAAAATAGAAATCATAGATGACAGTCAGATTATGAATCAAAATCTCAAATTGTTTGGAGCAAAAGAACAAAAGGGATCATCATCGTTGACATCATGAATGAAGAAGCTGGTAGTCCCAGTGTTGAATGTGATGAACAAGAGGAGTAGAAGACGAAGATCAAGTAGAGGAAGAAAAAAAAATTTTTTTCCTTCAAAAAAAAAAAGGATGAAGAACAAGAGAAGAGAATAGAAAAAGGAAAAGTCACATCAAAAATGAAGGATTTTGCTCAGTTTGGCGGTGTTTGCTCACTTACATTTCAGAAGCCAGAAACTATCTTAAGGAATCTCGCCCTTGCTTCTGGTATTGTTCTGTTTTCAATTGATTATTTTCAATATTCATTCATAATTTCAATAATTTATATATTATAATATAACAAAATTTCTTGTTATTCGGTATGAAATATGTTTTGTTCACTCATTTTAATTGACATTCTCTCTCTCTCTCATTCTCTCTTCATATCTACCTCTCATCACTTCTCTCTCTCTCGTACACTTTTTTTTTCTATCTCTTATCTCTCTCTCACACTTCCTGTCTACCTTCAGCCTTCTCACTTAACTTACGTTCGTGATAACCGAATATGGATAGCGTGACACACGTGGGAAATGCCTTTCTTAACGTAACGTCAGTGACGACGACGTGACTTCTTCCATTCATATCGCCTACGCATATTCTTCAAAGCTTTTACTATGCTCAAACATCTCACTCAACTCTTTTCACCTACAAAATCAATCGGAGGCTATACAACTTCATTTGCATACAAGCATGCAATCCACGTGTATATGTGTGAGCAAGTTCCGAGTGGGTGAGATCAAGATTTATCTCATTTGGTCTATTTTTGGATGATGAGAACGGTTGCGCTTTCGCATTTAGCTCATAGCTCTCACCATCGTTCTCTGTTTCATTCATCTTCCTCTCTCTCTTTCACCTTTCTTTGTCCTCATTTCCACACTTTCATCTCACTTTTCTCTTTGAGGACATTCCATAATCAGCATTTCCATTTTGAGCAATTTCAATCCAATGTGAGGCAACATGAGTTTCATTTTCTCTTTTTTTCCTCCTCTTCTTCTCATCTCTTGTTATTCCAATGACATGCTATTGAAACTTGATTTCAGCTCCTAATGCTTAATTCTCTTTTTATTTTCTCAAATAAACACATGAAATTACATTGTTCCTGTACTTGCTGAAACTTTTTTTTTTCATCTTCTTCTTCATTCGTCATTTTCACGAATTCAAAACAAATTCATCTTTTTTTTGAATATTTTTTTAACACACAAAATCTAAATACTTTCAATTAAATGCTCAAGTCAGCTTGCTTACTTCTTTTCCCTCCTTCTGCAGCCGCTTCTTTCACCCCATCATACTATCTCTCTTCATCCACGTTCTTTCAGCTTCAAATTATCTGACAAACCTTCTCTTCCTTTTTAGTTGACATGTTTCTAACAGAGAGAGAGAGATAGAGAGAGAGAAATTAAAAGATAGATAGAGAGAGATATCTAGAGAGAGAAAAGACCAATTTGGGGGTGGGTATAGAGAGAAGAAGAGAACGAAGGAAGGAGGTAAAGCTTCCGGATATTCATCGCTTTAGTTCGTTGTTAAAATGAAATTTAAGAAAAGATCTTTGACCTTCCTTTATTCACAACTAATCTTCTCCAATATATCCTTATTAAGTAAAACAGCTTTTTTGAAGCTTGTTCTCATCTCATCTGCCCATTAATTCATTTAAAAACAATTTTCGAACATTGCTTTGCATCACACGAGCAATTTCCTAATATTTTTGTTATTTTAACGTCCGTTTTAAGTTTTACAGAGAAAAAAAAACTTTTTTTTTCTGGTTCCTACCCCTACTCATTCCACTCTCACTCTCAAACGGATTAGAAAATGTTCGAACACGACTGTTTAGGTGCTGAAATTCAGCTTTTTCTGCTTCAAAATGGCTTGTTTGGAGAGATAGAGTGAGAGGTGGGCCAAAACGGTGGTAGAAGATGCTTTTATGACCGTTTGAGCTTTATGCGATGCAAAAACTTTTTTTTTTTCTTTTTGTAAAAAAGTTTTGAACTATTTTTTTTTTGCTACTTACTTTTCTTCAAATAATTATGGTAATTCAGCATTTTTTTTTAAAAGAAAAGGGTAGGCTTACTTTTTGCGATCTGATGCCTTGCCGCAGAAATAATTGCCCTAATCACTCATCATCACGAGATTTGATTATGAAATTTAAAACATCTGAATGTTCCTCTCAGTCAGTTCCTATTCCGTCTTGAAGAAAGATTGAACTTGCTGGAACTTGTGAATAACACAATCCTCTCCTGTTGCACATTCTCAACCAAAGTTCTTCATCATTAATATCGAAAAATCAAGCTTATAAAGAGTGAAAGAGAGAGAGAGAGAGACTAGCTGTAGTTGTGTGGAGGTATTGACGAAGCCGTTATTCATACTACCTTAGCGAATTCGTGGAAATAGGATGAAAAAATAATATTTCTCTCTTATTTATTCCTTGTATGAGAGGTTCTGTCAGACATGTGCAATTGTCTTTTCTTGGCCGGCCTTAGTTAGTGAATTCTGACAGAGATCGAAGAGAGGGTTGTATCTGTGTATGTGTGTGTGTGTGTATGTGTGGGTCGGTGTGAATTCGGTGCCAATTCTGTATGTCGTCAGCTTACATTGTTTCAAACTATAAATCAGAAAAATAGAATATCATAGCACATGTGGGTACTTTCAGCTTTTTTTCTTTTTCGTCTTTTCGCCTTTTCATTATTTTCGTTTTGTTTTTTTTCCATCTTGTGTATATGTTTCGCAAACACTCTTCTCTCTATCTTAATTCTATATTTTTTTGTAAAGGAAATGGATCTGATATCAAGCTTATCACAAGCTTGTACTATAGTTATGATATTCATGTGTGTGGCTGGAATTATAGGGAATATTCTTTCTCTCATAATATATACAAAACCGGCATTCCGACGACGGTAACTAAACAATAATTTTATTTATTATTAATTTCTCTTTTTCAAGCTCTATCAATATTCTATTATCAGCTTTATCTGCATCAGATTTATGTGTCTGTTGTTTAGCCATACCTGTATTCAATATTGGCCATCTACAAAGCTTACTGCCAGGTAACAGCATATTATGCATCACGTCATCATATATTCCTATTTAGGTTCACAAAAAATCACAGCTCTCATTATGGTATATCTTTATCCAATTACGGTTATGTTTCAATCAATGAGTGTATGGCTATTAGTTTCAATCACTATTGATCGTTACTTGGCTGTCTGTCATCCATTTGTGGTTCGAACATACTGTACAAGGTGAGATCAATTCATAGATCATTTAGCAACATTATTTATTCATTTTTTTCAGATCTCGAGCATTGCTTACTGTTCTTGTAATAATTATTTTCTCTGTCGCCTATAATTTCGTAAGATTTTGGGAATTTCAGTTTGTGGACAAAGAAACAGGTATCATTTCCTCTTTACTTATGTGTTGATTCAAAAACACTCGCAAAATAAGAAGAAAGAAATTAGATGAGAGACGAGCTCATTGCGATAGCAGTAAATGGAAAACTTATACGAAGATCTTTCTCTCATTCTTTCCAGAGATAAAGAGATGAGAGAGAGAAAAAAACACAACCGCTCATCTCGCTTTAGCACGTCAAAAATGAAATGATCAGTTTTCGTTTTCAAAGGGCACAACCGCTCTCATTATTTTGCATCAGAAAAATGAACTTTGCATGAAAAGCAGAGACAAAAAAAAAGAAATATATATATATATATATATATATATTATTAAAAAACAAATATTGTATATACGAATTAGCATATGATAGATGAAGAAAAGAGAAAGTCAACTGAAAATTGCTGTTTTGTAGATACAGTGGAAGAGATGGTTCAGCCATTGTTACGTGATAATGTGAAGTTTATGTTATGGTATCAGAACATTGCCACGTTATTATCACAATTTGTAGTTCCAGTTGTTGCCTTGTGCATGCTGAATATTGAGGTAAGTATGATGTGATGTGAAGGATACAAACAGAGTGAGAGCGAATGAACATGATGATTGAAGACGTATACACACACACACATACACATACACACATACATACACACATACACATACATATAAGCATCTATGCTAAGTATGATGATGAGAGGAGGAGGAGGACAAGAAAAATAACCAAAAATGATAATAATTATAGGTTGCAAGAACAATATTGAAAGCAATTGAGCAACGAAATGAATTAGTTGCATCTGAACGAAGGGAACATAATACGGCCAAAATGATGATCTTCGTTGTACTTGGTAAGACGAAGTTGAATACCATAATGATACTTTGGCTATTTCAGTATTTCTATTCTGCTATACATTCTCATTCATTCTGAATGTCTTGGAAATCTTTCAATCATCATTATTTCGATCAAACATTGGATATCTATTGAATGATGTTAACAACATCTTGGTTGTTGTCAATTCATCATCAACATTCATTTTTTATGTCAAATATTCTACAAGGTATGTATTCTGTTAACTATATCATATAATCATTCATATTACTTATTAATATTATATAGATATCGTAATCAATTACGTACCTTATATGGAATCAGATGGTTTACTTCACGTCTCAAATTCACAGATCGACATCGAAAGAGTGATAGTCTAACAGCCAAACAGTACACTGGAACTCCAATAGTTAAAAGCAGTTGTTATAGTGATAGTTCGTTTTATCCTTTTATCAATTATCAATAAATTTTTATTTCTTATATTTATATTTCCATTTTCTGATGAATCTTATTTCGTTTTCATCTTGTTCCGTCTTCGAGCTCATCATCATCATCATCATTCATATCTCATGCTCGTTAACACTCAGCTATTACCATATTCAGTTTAAAATAATATTTGCATGAACATTTTTAGATTTTTTTTTTCTAGAAAATTTAGCCTCAATCCTTAGACACTTTCTCTCTCTCGCTCGTACTTCCCTTACTGCCACCCACACATCTTTTTAATATTTTTCATTAAACTTCTATCTTTTTAGTTCCTTATACTCTATTTCTCTTCTATCCTCTGCTCGCAACCACACAAACTTCATAAACCAACCCAACCCTCCTTCTGTCCTTCCCAAACTAACTCGTGCTAACACTTTTTTTCCCAAAAAAACAGCTTTTAACATACATAATATAGAATTTTACTAATATTTATAATTAATAATTCTATTTGCAGTTCAAGGATCTTTCATCGGACCGGCAGATCGAATGATTGCTTCTCATGTTTCCTCTTGACTTCATATCTCATAAACGAAAAGCTCAAATTAGTTCATTGACGGGTTTCATATGAACACACAGACACATACTGGTTCTTCTTCTTCATTTTTCTTATTTTCTTATGCGAATAAAAGTTTTTCTTATTTTCTTCTTATTTGACAATTAATTTATTCTTCTTTAAAATACTTCATATAAGGGAGTATATCATGAGGAAGAGAGGGAGAGAGAGAGAGATAGGTAGACATAAAGGGTTTTATATGGAGATAAATCTAAAGAGAGAGAGAGATAGATAGAGAGGGAGAGAGTATGATAATGATTGACAAACGTAGACAACCATAATTGGAGATCATTAAGAAAGTTATGTTCGTCTTCTTCTCAAAAAACAATAAAAAAAAGTAAAAAATGAATGTGAAATAGGTTATGGAGAGGAGAATGGTTGATTATTAAATTAAAATGTTATTAAATGAGAAGTAATGAAGTAACTAAAGAATTCTGGAATTACACTTCGGATTCTTTCATCATCATCAACATCATCATGTTAGACGTTTTGCCAACTGTATGGATTTCGTGTACGCTTATCAAACATGGTATACTGCCAGCTGTACGGATTGCGTGGCTGACGAGCAATATCATCAACAAAACGAAGATGTCGTTTTGCCTATAATGTATTATTTAAAGTATTTTTTTCATAAAAATTAAAAAGTATCTACCTTGGTTGCTTCCAACCAGCTATATGGGTTACGGGCACGCTTCGGCTTGTCTTCCAATCCATTGCTGCTCATCCATGAATAAGGATTGCGAGATCGTTTTTCAGGACTGCGTTCCATCCACGAATATGGGTTGCGAGCTCGTTTATCAACTATAATCATATTACTTTAATAATTGTCTTGTTGCTCAATATTTTAATTATTTTCGTTCGAAGAGATGAAATGTGAAAATGGAAAGATAGTTACTTACCGTCCTCCAGTTCATTAGAAATTTGATCATCCTGGTCATCTATGATACTGCCACTGGCGACTAATAACAAACAGGACAAAATAAACAACAAATGGAATATTGACAACAATCGGTGTTGAGCCATCTGGAATATCCAATAAAATATTTATAACACAATAGATCTTCGAATATGAAGAAGTAGGGAGCAAATTCAGAACGAACTCCCAATATGATCAACCGGTCACTAGCGATATAAGATTAAAAACAAAAATTTTTTATTGCTCATCCTCTTGTCAATTAAATTGTGAAAAGATGTCAAAAAAATTATGCAAATGAAGTTGTATGAATGTGTTTCTGTGCGTGAACGTATCTGTGTGTATCTGTGTGTGTCTATGTATGTGTGTGTGTCTGTCTGTGTGTGTGCATGTGTATGAGTCTGTGTGTAGTTGTTAGTGTTAATGAAGCTTAAACTTCAGCTTTTCGGAAACTTTCATATAATTTTCAATTTTATAATAATAAACATTGAAACTAAAAATGAATAGTTGAGACAGTTATGGAAGTTTCAATAGATGGCAGACATTGACGTAATCAAAATAAAGTTTTAAAAAAGAACCTTTTCAGTCTGTGATTTTTCTGTTTTTCACTGACAGCTGCAAATTGAGAAAGTTTGAAGTTTTATTTTCTTCAAACCAAATATAGCCCTTTTTTGGGAATAAAAAAATAATCAAAGTCATTCAGTGCCTTAGGACATTACTCAATTGCCTCAAATGCTTTGAGGGGAAAACAGTTGAGAGCACAAACGAGAGGACGAACATGCATGATGGAGAGTCAGAATGAATGATAACAGGGGGTGAGGACGAGATCTAAAATAAAAAAAATCTCTTTCTTGCCTCTCCCCTCTCTTTCTTTTTAAAATGATTGACACGAAGGGCAGGTGAAAAAAGAAAATTTCGGATATCTAGTGACATGATGAGATTTAGATGGATGAGCACTGTCTATGTCGGGAAATCGCTGAAAAGAAAATTGAAGAATGAAGATTAAGAAGAAGAAGATGAAGGAAACGTGCCGATAGGTGGTAGATGCTTCAAGCTAGTTCTACAAAGAGGGTTTTCGAGGAATGAGTAGCATAGAGAGAGAAAGATAGAGAGTGAGATAGAGAAAGTGATGGCAAGAAGAGGAGGTGAATATGATAGGTTATGAATAATGCGAAAAGGATGGAAAAGGCGATACATAATTTCTTGGACAATTACAAACACATCAGTCGGATTGACTTCTGAATGATGATGACTGTTTGTGTTTTCGTTGAGAATTTCCATAATTTCTTTCTTCTTCTTTTTTTGCCTTTTTTTTGTTTTCTTTAAGGATTAGCTGTAGCTTTAGGAGTAAGTGAATGGAATAATCAAGAAATTGAGTTTATCATTAAGAAAAAGCATAATCAAGTTGCTGGTAAGGCTTCTATGGTTGTGTGTTGCTTACATAAGAATGCTCTGATTTGATTTGATGAGCATCCTCTTGAGCAAAAAAAAGGAAGAGATAAATCTCCTTATAAGAAATGAAGAGAGAGAATATCTGAGTGAGAAAATAAATTCAGTTGAAAGCTGAATATTTGCATTGGGAAAGGGGGGAAGGTCTATTATACTCCAAGTTTATAAGACTTATGAAGTCTATTCTCAAGATTTCTGAATGGTAATAGAAATACTTGAATGTTTAAAATCGCAAAAAACTAGCCTAAACATAGAGAAATAGCAGAAAAGAGATCTTAGAGGGAGAGAGGGAACGAGGTAGAGATGTTGGAACAGAGAAAAAGGAAAAGAGACGAACAGGCGACATGAGGTGCAAATGAGGGAAAAGCAAGAAATGGCAAGAGCACGAAGAAAAAAAAAGATAAAAGAAATTATCTTTGAAGAAAGGAAGAGAGAGAGAGAGTAAGTGAGTGAGAGAGAGAGAGAGAGTTGCTGTTGAGAGGATGAATATCTTCCATCATCCATTAAGTTCAAAAGTTCATCAAAGATAAAGATTGCGGTGCTGAAGGGGAAGTGAAGGTAAAATGTGTGTGAGGAAAGAACTCCTAGAAACTCAAGCTCCTCCTCTAAATTCTTAAAAGGATTGGGCGGCCCAGGAAGAGGAAGAGAAAAAGATAGAGAAGAGAGTGAGTGCGAGCTAAAAAAGGGGAAAAAGAAGACTCTTATGGTGGCCAATCGTCGATCTATCGTCATCGACCATATTTGGTTAGATAAGCACAAACTTGCACGATTATAAATTAGCGTTTACAACTTGAAAAGCATAATGGGGATTAAGAAGAAGCAACTGTCACGAGGCTTAATGATTGTGGTTGATGACATAATTAAATTGGAAGATTTACGAGGTACTTGAAACAAGAAATTGTACTCGGACATCTATGAAAGTTTTCGATTCATTGCAAAAAATATAAAAGAGACTTTCTAAAATCCCTCATCGTCATCATCATCGTCATCATCGATGTAGTTGCCAGAAGTTGACCACAAAATAGTTTGGCCATGTGGCTCACAGGCTCACAGAGATAGAGGGGGTATGGCGGATCGCAAAATATTTAGAAATGATGGGGTAGGATGAGGAGGATGAATCAGCTACTGGCATCAGCATCATCATCATCGTCGTCTATGGTTTCATCAAAGCAACACAAGCTAAAGCTAGTGTGTGAAAATATGAAAATAATAAGAAACAAAGAAAACAAACCAACATCTGCATTGCCTTCTATTTGGACATTAAAAAACGTATTTTATCCACCAAAAATATCATTCAGGCCATGTATTTTTAGTTTTTAATTTCGTTTTTTTTTGCTTCTCTCCTCTCTTTTCTTCGTTCTCCTTCTTCTTTGGTGGTTTACTAGAAACAAGCAGGCATTTTCTTTCATTCAGCTTTTCCTCCAAACATGGCCAACAGCGGCAAGAAAGTATATGATGAAAATCAAGGAGTTGCTCAAGCTTGAAAGTCTTGACTACAACCAACCTCCCCGCATGTTTTATATGAGATAGAATTCATGTGACAGTCGCTGTTCTAGCGTATCCTATGATCCATTAATCTTCTGCTCACAAAACAGAGCAAAACCTGTTCAGAAGCAAAAGTTGAAAAGCTAAGCGTAACACATGTCCTTAACGTAGCTTTATGTGAATGTGCATGAGTCATCCATCGAATGAGAGAACACTGTTCTGATGCAATGAAACACGGCTTAACATGTGCTATCAGCTTTTGCTCACATAACTACATCCTTCATTATATTTACATAATTAATCATAAAATGTAGTTTATTGATGAAGCTCTCATATCATCTAGCATGACACATTCCATCACTTTAAATTAACTTGTTTATATTTTCATCTTATAGTCAACAGATAATTTATTATAGTTAAGTGATTCTTCTAGAAGAAGGTTCATGAGAGGGCTATGCAATCAATGTGTTGATAGCATTTGTTTTCTGAAAACAAACTGGAAAAAAAATACACAAAAAGATGGATGAGTAAAGAAGATCTTTTGAATACAAAACTGTTATCTTCTTTCCCTTTTAAACCTTTTCCGATTGAGCAGATGATGAGGATGATGAAGAAGAGCAAAGAGTTTGGATGGGGGAGGCAAAGGGGGGGTCGGGTGGTGAAGAAAGAGCACAAGGTTGCGGGAACGAGTTCAATAGCTTAAGGGAAAGATATTCAAGAGAGACATAAGATGATTCAATGATTTCAGAACGTTCAGATATTCTATTTGAAACTCTCTCAGAATCTATTGTTCAAATATATTCTTCATAGAAAACTTCAGAACTTTGATTGAATGTTATTTCCTTAATTGTTTAAGTGAGTACAACTCATAGATGAAGACGGAAAATATGATGACGTCATATTCATTTTTATTATTTGAAGGGATGTTAAGAGTTTATATTAAAACTCAGGATTGTGCATTATTCAAGAGACAACGAAGAAATACTAAGAAAAGCTGAAAAAATGAAGAAGAAGACGACGAAGTAAATGAATTCCACTGCTTCGGTGGTAGTGCTTTCATTCTTGCTTCGTTGTCTAAACGGAAAGATGAAAAACATAAGTTCTGAAGAGCTTCTATTTAAGGGATTACTCTTTAGGTGACAGGGATTAGAGAATATGAGAAAGTCATCGACATAATCCTCTCAACTGACACATGAAGTTCTTTTTTGTTCCAAAATTACAAATTTATCATCAGACTGCTTAAAATCAGTTTGTGGGTTTCATTCGCTATCTCCGATGACGTAGTTCACTCCATTTTATTTTTATTTTAAAGCAGTAAATCTTCGAAATAACAGAGATTCTAGGAGTGAAACGTGGGATGAAGGGAAGATGATGAGGAGAGAAAAAAAATTTTTTTACTCCCTCTCTCAACCCTCCAAAAAAAGCACCATGTTTGGAATAGATGAATAATAAATGAGGAAGTATGAGAGAAAGTGTTACAGAGAGAATGAGAGGATAATACAGGAAAAATGAGGGTGAGAATGAAAGAGAAAATAAAAAAAAATTTGCAACCGATCTGCACATGGCTCACAAGAAGAATGTGCTTCACGTCAGCGTGAGCCACACAATAGCGTTGACGGCTTTTTACGTGAAAATCACGTTCAAAACTGCATTTATGAATAAATTAAGTGTCAGTCAAATGCTGTTCGGAAGTATACAACGTCAAAGTCTGACTTAAGAAAAAAATTCCGGTAAACTTAATATTCTTGTTCAGTTCAATGAGTTTGAAAAAGCAACAGCTTGAACAGAGAAGTGAAGAAAGGAAAAATGATATCGTTTAAGGAAATTTTGTTTTTTCCTTTTTTTTCACTTTTTCTCTCATGCAACTCTGTGAAATACGAATTGTGGGAGGAAGAATGAAAGGAAGCAAACTCGTTAAACAGGCTTCTGTGAGAAGTAACTGATGAGGGTTAATGAATCCGATGAGGGTTGCGTGCCGAAAAATTTTCGCGAATGCGGAGAGGTTTAAAAAAGATTTTGTTCACATCAAACATCGGATCTTCAAGTGTAAGAAACTATTTTTAAAGCTTCTCATCGCTTGAACAAAAACTTTGGCTGGCAAATGCTGAGATGCATTTGAAAATCTCAAAGACGAATAAGGATGTTGTAGTGTTTACCGTAGTATGAGGGTGTTAAAGAGTTTCAAACACAGAGCGAGAGAGAGGTGAAGATAGAGTAAGTGGGGAGAGCTGAAAGCGATTCATCTAACGCAAATTTACCTGAGCAAGGATCAAGAAAGCAGGTGAGTTGCAAGCTTAAATCAGAAAAACAAATGTTGAAAACATGATAACTTATAGTTCCTGTTTTTGTAAAAGAAAATTTGAAACAAAAAAAAAGAGAAAAATGAGGACAGGGTTGCAAGGATATTGTGAACGGCTTAACCATCAAACATGTCCTATTTCCTAATAAAACAAATCTCATTTGTCAAGAAATGTGCTTGAGCTTAAATCTCCAAATTGAATGAGATGTTTACTTATACGATCTCTGAAGAGAAAATTATTTTTGTGGAAAAAATGAAGAAAAAAGCAAAAAAAAAAAATTTCTCTCTCTTCTAATCTCTCTTCCTTGTTCCTTGTCCTCTCTCCCTCCCTCTTTCTTCACTTCTCCCTCTCCCTCTCATTCTCTCTTAATATCTCTCTGTCTTTCACCAAGAGTTCAACTCTGAACGCTTTTCATCAAAATAATATTTCAATGAACAGCGCGGAAACGGCATTTAAGCAAAGTAAGTAATAAGTGGTCATGAAGCTTATAACCTTGGATTGAAGCTGAAAACACTTGGAGGACGAATTGACAGTAGATCATAACACTTGACAGATTTCTGATGTTACGTCTACTCCGCCTGCATTGGAAGAATTAAAAAACTGACAGGAACATTCTGTATTCGGAAGTGAACTGATCAGAAATGTTTACGATTATCGTATCGGAACTGTGTTATGCTCATGAAAAGCTCTCGAAAATAACTTTTACATCATCATCATTAGCAGATGTGTTTCAGATGAGATGAAGTAGACGGAGTAAAAATGGATTTTAATAGTTTTAAAAATAAAAATGTTTCAAATGTATGTTGGAAATGGAAGAATGTGAGAGTATAAAATGGAAATGCTGTGCAGAAACAAAAAAAAAAGAAAAAACCATTTGTTCCTGTTACTTTCTCTGAAGCTCAATACGGAATTACATGAATGCATGCGGGGGGTAAAGAAAACAAAAAACGTCAAACGAAGCACAATCGTCTTCTATCTGATGAATGAGCAGAATGGATATATACGTGAGTGTGTGTATCTGTTGGAGTCAGAAAGCTCTACTTCACGTGAATCATCCCACATATTTCCGTGTGCATCGAAAAAAGGGAGTAGAAGATTAAAGTATATTTTTAAAAATGAGATTAAAAAGATTTAAATAAAAGGATTGGTACGAGGGAGGAGAAGAGAGAGAGAGAGAGAAAGGGAGGGAGAGAGAGAGATGGAAGGGTTTGACGATCAACGTTACTTCCGGACTAAAAACCTATTTATTGTTGAATGGTGACGTCAAGCGAGCTTTGAAGTGGGAATAGTTCGTCAGGTATTGCGGTTTGATTTATATCATTTTTTAAGTTTTTCATCTTCATGTGACAATCTGTGGAAAAACATTCTGAGATGAAAAATCGAAAGTATAGTGGCCACAAATCAGAAAGTCTAAAAAGCTTTTCTGCTATTGTCATTCAGCTTGAGAGCATTTGGCCTCTCCCAATGAGTATAATCAAGAAGTTTGTGATGTATGCATGTGGCTGTGGGTTAGCTGCTTGGTTGTGATGGTGGTGGTGGTGGTAGTGGTGGTAATGCTGAGGTTGCGGCTGCTGTTACACGCATTGGTGTATTAAATGTAAATGGAAAGAAAAAGTATAAGTTAAAGACAACAAGTAATAAAATCGTGTTGTTTATCATCTAACACATACATAGAGATACATGAACATCTATATATGTATATACATAGTATATGGTAAAGTGAGCAACAATTTTTAATCAAGATAAGTCCATATCCGGAAAAGACATACACATAACAGACATCATTTTATTTTGGACCATATTTTTCCAACAAACGACTGTTTCCATACGCAAATCCATAAATATACTGAAGTATTCTCATTTTGAAGATAAATTTGAGTTTTGTTGATATCGTTGATGCTTCTGATGACATTTAAGTTTTTAAGTATTTTCGTGACATCCAATTCATTAACTGTCTTCAGTGAGCATTTCTTCAGGCAATATGTATCTGTCAGCCAAATCTTTAAAAAAAGAAACAAAAAGTGAGAAAGTAGAGGAAAGCTGGGGAAAGACATATGTTTGGGTAAAAATATGTTTTTTTTTCTTCCGTATTTGGTAAATGGAGATGAAGCTGCAAATAAATACCTTAAGTAGTGTGTTGATAAGTTCAGATGAGATGGTTTGAGCTTCTTCCAGCACTATCTCACCACATGCCACAATGCAGTTTATTAGAGATAATGGCTCGAATATGATATCAGATGACAAACAAATGAACTGCAATCCCAGATTGGATATACATATACAGAAGATTCCGGGCTCTCTTTTCACCGACAACAACAATTACCTGGTTCAGATTTTTCAACGTCTTTGAGGCTATCTTCTGCTTCTGTGAATAGCTCGTAGAGATGTGTGTTGCTTGTGATGGTTTGATGCAATATATCAGAAAGTTGAATTTTGTCCTGAACTTGCACGATATGAAAGCTATCTTTGATGCTTTCACATTGTTTTCAATCAAAAAGTTCCTTAAAAGCTTACAGAATGAATCATCTACTAGTGCCTGAAATGGTCATATGAGCTGTATGTGTCCGATGATAGAAACAGCTTACATTTCGAATTTTCAAGCTTTCAACGCTCAAGTTCTGACAAGTTCTAGGGATAGGAAAACGAAAATTTATATAATTTTTCATCCAACCACTCGTTTGCTTCTTCAAAGTAGAAAAAACAAAAGATAAGTATATTTTTTGATTTGAATGATTAAAAATCGTCTTACTTCGTTCGTCAAGATCATACGTAGCAAGTAAAGCTTCAAATACTTGAGCCGACAATCGTGTATAAGCAGGTAGTAAGCTTTGCAGGTAAACGATAGATTCCTAAGACTCTCATTATCCATCTGCAACAAGATATTAAAGTATACGGAAATCCTTCCTTGTTTTTCCAATCAAACTCAACACCATTGTCTGCCTTTCAGATTTACAAATGTGAATTTCATTTCTCATTTTTCATCGGATGACGACCGGTTGTGCATAAATTGGAATGCAAAAGCTAAAAACTCACTTTCTCAAATATTTTCAAGCGTATCTCTAGCGGAAGTAAAAAAATTAATTTTTCAAACATAATTGATTACAAATAAATAAAATATTTAAGGAGATGGCTAGTCCGTCTTCCAATCCTGAACGATTGGTTCTGCAGAATGTAAGAAAGAGAGAGAGAGAAAGTGAGAGTGAGAGATGGAAAAAGAGTAAAAGATGAAATTCAAACCTCTTCAAGTATCTCTGGTTTATCCAAATAAAGAGATTTCATTTGTAAAATTATATAAACATTCGTCATTTGTAAAATTTGAAAAACGTTTTTTACTATCTAAGATTAACAGGCTCAATCATTGGAATTCGCAAATGTGCCCTCTTCATTCCTCTATCTCTCCCCCCCCCCACACACACCGCGTTTTTTTTATTTTGAAAGAACAGAAATCTGATTGAATCTCGGCGAGAAAAACTCATTTCATCTTTGTTCTTCAGAATCAGTGATATCATCGTCATCAACTTCAATGACTTCATCAGTTCATTTCCAACCTCATTTGCGTGAATCATCAGGATTCCCTCAATTAGCTTTTACTTATAAGGATTGCCTATAACTAACAAGCAGTTGATGGACACCCTCCGTATCCTCCGAATCGTTCACCATACCCACCACACCAAAATCATCCCCTCCCTCCCTCTTTTCCTTCTCACCCCCCCCCCCTCCCCCCCCCTTTCTCTCTTTTGACTCAAATTTTCCTAAACTTCCGAAATAAATTTGAAACGAAAGCTTATTGAGAAGAATGTGATTGAAAATTTTATATTCAAAGAATTTTTTTTGAATATTTTTCAGTCTCAGAATATCTTAAAATAAGCCGAAAAGGAAAGTTCAAAGATGGCGATATGTAAATTTCTTTTTTTGGGCGACTGTTTCTCTTTCAACACCATGAAATTTGATATTTTAAGATGAAGTTGAACAAATCATTTGCTCAATGAGACTTCATCAACGAAACGTTTCCAGCAAAAGGAGAAAGAACAAGCGAAAAAGAAAAAAAAATAAGATTTTATTCATTCCCAGACATCTTAGGATGATCTTTTCATTGGATTCGTCGTTGAATTTTACTTTTTGGAAATGAAATCAACGACGACTCGTCAAGGGAGATGTCCTTTGCCGTCGTCAAATCTAAAGGATAATATGCTTAAATCTCGCTGATTTTTTTCTCACTCCAGACATCTACCTAGAGATGTCTCGAAGTTGAAATAGTGAGAGCTGAATAGCTTTTTCTCGCGAGCTTTTCCTCTTTTTTAACATTCATTTTAATTTCGTCCTGCTTTCTATTCATTTCCATCATTCGTCAGTGAATCTAATCTGGCCCACATACAACTTCGTTCTTAACTTCTTTTTCAATCTCATCAAAGAGCAGAAAAAAATCCTTTTTTCGAACGTTCGAAAAAGAAAATACCGGATAAGCATGTGAAAGATGATCAGTCTTCTTCCATTTATCTGTCTGACAACACATACACAAATACACACACACACACACATACACATAGACACACACACACACACACTCTGAGAGATACACAAGCTCAAAAGTTGATATCTAAGCTGAGCTTGAAAACAGACGAATTACCTTTTACGACCTTGTGTTGTTCTCATCACTCCCATCCTAGCTGCTCTTCTTCTGCCGCTTTTTTTACCAAAAAAAAATTACTTTTTGGATTTAGAAAAATTGAAGATGAACCCGTAGAAAATGGTGAATAGCAGAGGAAATGTTTAAAGAACGTTCCCAACATGTTTTTCATTTCAATTTCTTCTTGATTTTCATCCATCCTTACCGGAATGTCTTAATGAATTCTCCTTCGTTTTTTTTTCTTCTTTGCCTTTACTCTACCAACCGATTTGATGTTATTGATGGACCTGTAGCTCATTTCATTCAGAATTTCAATGCACATTTGCCTAACGGACTCGTAAATTTAAAATTTTCTCAGTTTTTTTTCATCTTGTCCGAACGCGCATCGTTTTAAAGACTTCACTATTTATCATAAATATATGGGCTTGAAAGTAAAATTAAGCTAAAAAGATTGAAAATCAGCTGAATATGTCAATCTTCTTAGTCAAAACGAAAAAAACATTACATTGTGTGAGATAAAATTGAGAAAAGGACTACAGAGCTACGAATGCAGATGAAGCATACATATAGACGGAGCAGAGACCAGTGATGAGAGAGGTGACGATGTCAATGATTCTCTCCTCTCCGTTGTTGTCAATCTAATTCGGATTTCGATATGTTTCAACTGAAACTTATGTGTCTGATTGAAGTTTTTACCACCCATCTGCTCCCAAATTAGTTCACATGACGTGTATGAACTATGCATAGCCGGAGTTAAATCGAAAGTTTAATTGAATGTTGTTGGACATTCAAACGATATGTTCTTTTTTTAGAAAAATTGCTACAACGCATAATTCACATAATTACCTTAGTTTGTCCCTCGAATGGAGCAGCAAAAAAAATCTTTTTATTTACTTTGTTTCTCTTTGCTGCGCCTCCTCCGGCAAGATAGAGCTTCCTTCAGCCGATGCAACAGTTTCATATTTTTATGTTTTGTGATCATTATGATGAAGCACTTAAAGCTTCGTTCCATTAAACTCCATTTAAAGAGGCAACAGGTTACTCCCTCCTCCTACTTTCCCAACCAAATCCCCCCCCCAAATCTCTCTACAACATAGTTTAGATATTAGTAATCAAGCATAAACCTTATGCTATAGCAGTTATTTCTTTTATGCTCAATCTTTCCCACCCTCACAAATTGTTATTACTATTTACGGTGTATCGCTTACAAACTCTCCCGTTTCATTCATTTTTTTGCATCAAACACACTTCATCCGGAAACTCATATCAAGTACGAAACTGCATTTCTGAGCAATTTCAATATTTTATTTATTGTATTTACTAAAGACACTGAACAACTAAATGAATAGCCCAAGCTTCTCATTCATTACTCTTTCGCAATCTAAAATCTGGAAATCTATCATATTCTAATTTTTATTTTTTACGTCCGTCTTCTCACGTACATCTTTTAACGCACTTTCTTGTCAGTTGCACGTGTCATTTATGTTATTTTTCACGTTCAGAGCGGTTGCATTCATTTTCTTTCCTTCTTCATTCTTCTCTCCTTCTCTGTTTCTCTACCTATCTTTCTCTCACTTTCTTACTCTCTCTTTTCCCTCCCTTTATTTCAAGTCCTCTGTATATGTATTTTTCCTCAATAGAAAGCATGGCATACCCCAAACCCGTCTGTGGTGTGCCCGCCCCCAGCTATTCCAAGCCAAATGATGCTTCGACCTCATCTTCTTCTGTTTCATATTTTTTCTAATGAAAAAAAAACTTTTTTTTCTTCTTCTTACATAAAACAGCATGAAGACAACAATCGTTTTAGAATCAGAAATCAGAATTCTGCTTTCTTTTCCCATTTATTATCTCATTACGATATGCGTTTCAAACTTTGTCCGAAGATCCTCCGGCTCGCATAATGAACGGATGTAGCTTTGTTTTCTAATTTGTACGGAGAAACAAAAAAAAAAGAATATTTTCCATTTTTCTTACCGGAAACAACGAATTCTATGTATTTTCAGTATTTAGAACTTATGTTCCTTGTTTTATTTATTGCCGTCGCACAAAATTTTTCTCACAAAAGATTACCAACAAGTGATTCTGTTATTGTTCTTAAAGGGTTCTTACATTCTGAGCTTCTTTCCATCTTTTTGTACGCAAAAAAGGAAATTCCACTGAACACTTTCTTGAACAAATGGAAAAGGCATTTCTTTTTTTTTTTCACAATTTCTATCTCAAAATAAGTTTGGCTTCAATGTTCAAATATAACTTTCAGATGAATATAAGCCCGAAAAGGTGATCATGTACTACGTGCTATACGCTTCTCTTATCATAACTCAGCTGGTTCAGTCATCACAGGTTCATTATGTTGATTTCATTTAAAATATATTCTTTTATACTATCTCTTTGACTATCGCATGGTTAATTATCTCCAGATAATTACATTTAAAAGTAGTTTGAAGAGAAACTTTTTGCTTCTTCCATCGCCCTCGCTCATCCTTTCTCTCTTTCCGTCTCTCTCTCTCTCTCTCTCTCTCTCTCGTTATCGTTCTCACAATGTGCTTATGATGCATTTCATAACTGAGCGTATATCAAGCATTTGCTTCTTAGGAGAAGAAAAAAAATTTTTTTTGTGAGATATTTTGATGAATTTTCATGAAAAACATACAACCATACATACACAACACATCATCTCAAGCTTAATCTCAAGCTAATTAACTCCAAAAGGTATTTTCCTCTATTAAATCCTTAATAAAAACAACCAAAAAAAGGGATGAAGGAGGATGGGAAGGGACGAGCAGAGCGAAGCAAAAACTTCTTTTTGAACGTAACAGCTGTAATACATCATACGTATAATATAACCTTCATTTGAATGCATATATCAAGTTAACATTTGACATATTTTTCAATTTTTTATAATTTTTATTATTTATACACATAATTCATTGAAATCATCTTTCGTAAGCATCCTTCTTTAAAAACTTTCGGGACTCTCTGTCTCTTCATTCAGTTTCCAAAATTCAATAAGCTATTTGTGTCATCGTTTAACTAATTCCTTGTACTTTCACAGGATGTTTCAACTCAAAATATTCAATTAGGCTCACGATTCGATCTGGATAAACATGTTTTATCAAATCAATTCACATATAATAAGGTAAAACTTTATTAAAAATCATTTCTTTAATCACTCATCCATAGCTTCAGCCGGAACCGAGGTTTCGGACACAGATGAGAGTATTGTACGATCATCTGTTCGATGGATATCAGAAAGAGCTTCGACCTGTTCTCAATGATGTGAGTTTTTGCTGAAACTGTTGACGTTGACCTTATGCCTTACACAATATGACGTTTACGTGAAACATACGTGAGCTCGTTGATATTGACGTCGGAATAACATTAAATTCATTTGAGGTATCAACGATCACAATGCACGGTTGTTGACCAGAATTCGTTTTGTTCATTTTCTTAAGTATTGACCTTCATTTCCCTTTTTTTTTCAGTCATCAACTCTGAATGTGCAGATGAAGTTTTGGTTAAAACAAATTTTAAAAGTAGATGAACGTGATCAAATTGTTAATGTATACTGCTGGCTTGAACTCGTGAGTCTTTCTTCCTTGTCTTATCGTTCTCTAGTAATCGTTATATCTTATTCTGCCCTTCTGTATATGTGTATATACTTTCTGACAAGAAACAAAAAAGATATTTTAAGTATTGGCAAGATGAGACATTAACATGGGATCCGAGCAAATTCGGAAATTTAACAAGAATTCATGTGCCGGCACATAAAATTTGGAAGCCAGATGTTCTTGTTTATAACAAGTACGATCTATTATGCTTTTTATAATTATAATCAATTATATATTAAGTGCTAATATGAATGTGGAGGAAAATGAGATGGAAACGAATGCAATAGTCAATAATACGGGTCACGTCATGTTGTTTCGATCATTGATAACTGATGTCAGTTGTAATTTGAATTTAGAACAATTCCCTTTCGATCAGCAGGTTCATTATAATTGAGTGTAAGCTTGAATTAAGCTTATTTTCTTAAGGTCTGTTATCTCACATTTGCATCATGGTCTATGGATGGAAGCAAACTGAACTTAGCTGCCACTGAAAATACAGATAACTTGGAGTTGTATATACGAAATACGGAATGGACAATGACCGAATTCCAGTTAGTATTCAAACCTTTTCTTTTCTCCTAAGGTTAACCGAAACCAATTATATATTTATAATTAAGAGTAAAAACATATGTGAAACGATACGATTGCTGTCCACATCCGTTTCCGGATGTTACGTACTTCATGGTATTGCGAAGATCACCAAGTTATTATATATTTAGGTTTTCATAGCTCACTAATTAAGCTATTAAAATGTGACTTTTTAGTTTGGTAATTCCATCTGCATTCATAACAGTTGTGACGATTGTTGGATTTTTCACACCCCACTCAACCACCGGAGAGAACACCGAGAAAGTCTCTCTTGGAGTGACAGCTCTTCTATCAATGGCCATCATCAGTACGTCATGTTTTTTTGTGATTTTCGATTGAAATCATGAGATTTGTGTCAGAAATTTATACTCTACAGTGAACGTTTTGAGACAGAAAAAAAAAGATTTTGAAACGAAATTGTCGCATGAAAATCGCTCCAAACGTTCGTTCATCATTTATGGTATTCCCTAGAGCTTGCTCCTCCTCTTTCCTCTCTCACTCTCCGTTTTTTTTGTTTTCTTTATTCCTCCGCTACTCATAAATAGATATTCTCCATCCGAAGAGAGAAAAAGTTAAAATAATTAAGCTGGAGAATGCATTGGACAGAGTATAAGGGAAATATTTCAGTGATGATGGTATCTGATGAAGTACCTGCAACATCAGAAGTCATTCCTCTCATCGGCAAATACTACATTGGATTGATATTTCTCATATTCATAGCCGCCTTCACAACAACATTAACATTAAGTTATCAGATGAGAGGAAATGCAGGCAGTCAAGTATTACTTACATCGTTTATCCACTTTTTAATTTTGTTTAATAGGTTGATCCACAGATACGTGATTTCTTTTTCAATTCTATCGCTGGCAATCCTTATATATCGTGGGCTTTCTCTTTCCAACTTCCAAAACGTCGTCGTAGGCCAAGTGAACAAGCAATGGTTTGAATATTCAACGGTTTTCTATTATTTATCTGATTTTGTTTTTTTTGCAGATTTATAGTTTCTTTTTTGAAAATTCTCAATCAAACGGGAAATATCAGTCAAACGGTTATCATGGAGTATCTGAGAAGAAGTCTCATGTTGTGCAATTGGAAGAGATTGACAATCAAGTCAAATCGGCTATGGTATATTTGAAGCGTTTGATGAATATGATGCAAATCTTTTGTTTGATTAGAATGAGAAGGATCTGGATCTTTCATTTGCCAAAGAAACTGCTATGGGTTTAGTAAAAATACGTCATGGTTTAGATGATATTAAGAATTCTATGAATGCAGGTACAATTCTAGTTGAAGGAAGGGAAGTCAAACGCAATCTGTTTAACATTGTTTCAGAAAAAGAACTTCGTCGGATAAAGTTCGAATGGCAACAAATAACGAGAATGATTGATCGAATTATCATGTTTTTTTATATAATTTTGACGGTTACATTTGCTGTAAGATTGCCATGTTGTGGGCGGGCTTCTCACATTCTATTTTGCAGGTATACATGTTAGCATCGCGGGAGCCTGAGATACGTTTAACAGATGACATAATGGACAGAGTGAAGCGTGCTTGATGATTTAACCCATGTTTTAAAGACGATTCTTATTTTATGTCTCCATGTTTGAAAAGAGCTGAAAAAAAGTTGAAAAAAAAAGAAAAGGAAATCTTATGTGGCATATATATCCTGTCTGTTTCTCCTATTTATGCTTTCTTCAGCTCTTTTTTTTCCGTCTGCTGCTTCTTTGGGTGACAAATGAGGCAATAAGTCGTCATGCTTTTCCATTTTCCTTCATTTTTGTTTCTCGGCTTATCAATCCGACGACATGAAAATGAAACTTCGACTTTACGCAAAACTTTTATTTTCTATTTTTTTTTTATTTTGTTCCTCTCCGGTCACAATGTTGCTCAGGTTTATTAACAGAATGAAAGGGGGAAATCATTTTCTGCCTTTCCTTCTCCTCTTCTCTCTATCATCATCAGTCATTGTTGTCATCTTCATTTGTATATGTGTGTGTATGTGCATGTGCATGTGTGTATGTGTGTGTGTGTCTGTGTGTCAAATATTTTTAAAATGAAATTTTAAAAGAGTATTTTTTTTCAAATCAAAGAATTCAACGTATTCATTACATGACATTGCTTATAGAAGAGATATCGTTTAAGTAACTGAAGAAATTTGAGCGAATTCAAAATACCTTGAATGTCCCTCAGGCCGGCAGTCCGTCTGTCCGTCTTCTAAAGCATCTTCTCATCCCCAAACATACATTTAGAAGGCTTCATCCTTCAACTAATTATGTAACATTGAGTTATTTGTCATTTGACACTAAAACACAACTGATATATGATATTACGATCCTGAAAAAGAATAATTGTAATTAGCTGCTCCTCCTATTCTCAGATTCTCCTAATAACGAAGCTCGTTTAAGGCTTCAGCTCATTCCCACCAAATCTCTAAATGATTTTAAGAGCCAAAAAAAACTTGAAATAATTCATTCTCATCCCATATATGGATGGTTTGTGAGAGTATGTGAGTTTGTGTGTGTGTGTATCTACGTCGGAGCAATTTATAAAAACTTATTTTTTACTTCATGTTTTCAAGAATCTCCCAATATGAGTTGCAAGAATATTTTGAACCTTCAATTTCATTTTTATCTCTCGTAAACATAAAAAGGAGTTTTACTAACTGAAAATGAGAGAGAAAAGACATTTTCTTATTTTTTTGCTCATTCCTTCTCTCTCCATGCTTCTCAATAAAATAATTTTTTTTCATTCCAAGAAAAGCAACCACCAAATCGCTGCTCTAATTTCTTAGTTGATGTTGTTTCGTTTTGTTGAAATAGACAAAGAAACGAAAAAATAATAGAAAAAGTAGATCAACACCTCAAACATTCGACTTCAACCCAATTAGCCAAGCTGTACACACAATTTTCTTGAACGTTTGCCGGTCATCGTTGTCGAAGCAAATTTCTGTTTCGTTTTTTTTTTTTTGCTAAAACTAAGAAAAAAAAAACCTTTTTTGGCTCTACTTTAAGCTTCTCCTAATTCTCCAGCTTTGAACATTGTAAGCAAATTATGACGATCATTGTTTTTTATTCAAATTATGTTTAGTACAGTATGGAAGATGAGATAGTGTGTTGTCTAATCGAATAGTACGTTCGAAGAGTAACACGTGAGTGGAAACAGAGTAAGAGAGAGGCAGAAAGAGACAAAGATCGTTTGAACTTTCAAAAATTCTTTTCTTCATTTTTTCTTCTTGCCGCTGATATGTGAAAACGTGTCAGTTTTGTTTTTCTCAGGTTCATATCTCATTAGCATCGTCTACTCCCGAATTTGCATATACGTGACGCGCCTACACGTAACCCCGTCGACTCATTTTGTGCTTTCATATACTACAGACGGGTTGCATTCAATTTATTCTTCATATTTTCTGTATTTTTTTTAATATTTTTTTTTATGTTTTCACATTGACAGATTTTTATTTGGTGAATTACATAAGAATATGAACATTGAGCTGTCAATGATGCGTATGCTATATGGGATTACTTAATGCTTAAAAGCTTGAATAATTTGATTTTTTCATATTTCAAAGCCTAATACTGGTGAAAAGCTTAGTGAAAATGAAAATTTTTTAATTTTTGGTTAACTAAAACTGAAGAAGATATAAATTGTGCTTTAAGCTTAAGCCTTTCCTTCATCATACACTTGACTTGTAAAAAAAAAAATAATTTTTAAAAGTTCTTTTGTTAAGCTATTGCTGTAGGCTATTCCTCCTAATTGGTTGTTTCACTTTTGAATTTAGTGAAGAATGATTATATTAACAGAACATAAACCTCTTATCTTTCGTTGACAGCGAAATATGTACCTCTCTCCCTCTCTAGATATTTCCCTCTCAAGCATCTCTCTCAAATCCTATCTTCAGATGTGCTCAACAAAAATTTATTTTCTTTCTTAGTATTATACTGATTCTTCCAAAAATATGGAAGAAAGAAGAGAAAACAAAGTTTTTGATATTTGTACTTTTTACCAGAAAAAAACGTATTCTTATTGGCTTTAGTGAATTCTGAGCAACTCGAATTTACCATGTAACCTCTCTATTTCCATTTTTCTTTTTTAAGCAGTTCTTGGATTCATCCTCTTGTGCTCTTTTTCTCTCTCTCTCTTTTTCGGTCTCCGCCCATCCTTTCTATCGCTCGTATCCCTCCATCATTTTGTTCGAACTCTCTGTCTCTCTCTCATATTTTGTGGCAATTTCGCTTTCCTCATTTTCTCTTTGTCTGTATCTTCGTATCTATTTCCTCTTGTGGAGATCTAGTTTGAAAAAATTGTCTTGCTCCTTTCGCGACTTGATGACTTTCCTAAGCTAAGGACAACATAAGGAAAAATGGCGTCGTGGTCTCTGAAGTTTTTCATCACGTCATCACATCTTCTGAAATTGACGCGTGTAGTCATACAACTGTCAAACAATATTCTCTACTTGTTTAATTAATCCTTTTTTTTCTGTTATAAACTACATTTTCTTGATAATATAGTTTCTCAAACATCACTTAAGGCATTGCAGACATGACAGGGTGGCTCTAGAACCACGAGAGCCGTCAATTCATTCTTCCGTTAGTCATGAAGCTGTATTTTGTGTCGTTATTCCTTCTTCTGGCTGTAAGTTTTCACAGCAATTTTTTTTCATCTTCATCTTCTCATATTTTGCGAGTAAAAAAGCTTACTAATTAAAACTTGGAAAAAAGATATTTGAGTCATATAGTCAAGCTAGCTTGTGGCTATTTTAATTATCCGGATGATAGGCTTTAAAATGAATGGATGAGAAATTTTCAAATGTTATGCTGAGAGTAGGAGTGAGCTTCGACACAATCACCAAAACAGATAGATTTCGAAGAATGTCTCAGCTTTCAAGCAGTTCAGTTCATTTTTGGAAAATTGATTTATGCTAGAACACAAGAAGCACATATTGTATGTGAGTGTATGTATGTGTTTGCCATAATTATAAAACACATACACACACACACTCTTCTAATAGTCTTTTTTGTATGGCATTTTGAAGCAAAAATGAGCTAAATAGCCGATAGAAGCAAAAAGCCGAAAGAACTGAAAAGGGCAAGAAGCACTTTCGTAAATTTTTATTTAGTCGGAAAGCGAATCGGATATTTTGTTCCATCAGACAACGCTATTTTTTTCTGGATAAAGCTCGTGGGATTAGGTTACTTTTCGATTGTAGAGAGATCATCGTTTATGTAATAATTAGCCTCCAAGAAAGAGAGAGAGAGAGAGATTCAGATTTGCAAGACGAAAAAAAAAGAATTCAAAACAAACTTTCATGCCTACACTCCAAATAAGGATGTTGTCAAAAATTTCAGATACGTAGTAGCTGTCAGCAGAAAGAGCTAATGAACTATTTGTTTAAAGATTACCGAAAAGAGCTAAGGTTATTTTATTATTTGAAAACATTCACACATACACACACATTCACACTCTCACTCACACTCAGACACACACACACACACACACATACACACTTCCATATGCTTCAGGCACAACAAGAAATTTAATTTACAGACCTGTTAAATCGGAACTTTCGGGACCAACCAATGTCACGGTGCAACTATATTTCAAGCAAATTCAAAAAGTTCAGGAAAATGATCAAATTCTGACAATTTATTGCTGGTTGGAAGAAGTATTTTCAATTCAGAGAACGATAGATTCAAAAAACAACTCTAAACTTCAGTATTGGTATGATGAATTTCTTTTATGGAACCCTGACGAGTTTGGGGGCGTCAGTACATTGCATGTGCCATCCGATATGATTTGGAAGCCAGATCTGCTCGTCTATAACAAGTATAATGAGAATAGTTGAGCGATTGTTTTTGATATCATTGATTTGCAGTGCCAATATGAACATCAAAGAGAATGAGATGCAAACGAATGTTCTAATTGAAAACACTGGCAAAATTTCATTATTTCGAGCTATCATCACTGATGTTACATGTGATCTACAATTGGATCGCTTTCCATTTGACCAGGTAACCCATGAATGTTATTCTCTCATTCCATAGTCTTCTGTCATTGTCAACTTCCTTTTTTTTGTTTCAAACAAAAAAAAAAGTGAAAAGTGAACTTCGAGTTTATGAGAAGGATACTTACATGTCAAGTAGATAGTTTTTGCATGAAACTTTAATGGACAATGTGGGTTTAGTCGTATGAGGAGAAAAAATCCAAAAATTCATAGAAAATGAGATTTGTGCAAAAAGATTTTTGAGAAAAGTGATTTTAGCAAATATGTTACATAATGTTTGCATCATGGTCTTATGATGGTTCTCACATAATGCTTCAAACAGTTGAAGAGCCGACAGTCGAACCAAGTACTAACAGGTCAAAACATCCAGCAAAAGCGCAAACACAAAAACACTTTTTTCAGGACCAATCTAGCTTCCCTTAATCATTATATACCAAATATGGAATGGAAACTAGTAGATTTCAAATATCGAAGCAATTTGAAGTTTATTATTGTCCTCGAGAAGAGAGTTGAAAGCCTTGTTTCAGATACTACGATTGCTGCCCTAGTCCTTATCCAGATATTTCATATTTCTTCGCAATCAAACGAAACCCTTCGTATTACCTCTTCACTCTCATCATTCCTTCAGCTTTCATAACTATCGTTACTGTAATCGGTTTCTTCACTCCTCATTCATCTACTGGCGAGAACACTGAGAAGGTAACATTGAACATTTTCATTTTGTAAACACAACCGCTCGTCTTCAATGCAAATTCAAAAATAAACCAATCAACGTTTCACGCGTTCACGTAATGTTCGTGTTTTCGTAGGTCAGCCTCGGTGTTACAGCCCTTCTATCTTTGGCTATTATTTGTAAGTGTAGTGAAATGTAATTTCCCTAAAGGGTTGAACGTCATTTCAGTAATGATGGTATCTGATAAGCTACCAGCTACTTCGAACTCCGTTCCATTGTTAGGTTCGAGAAGAGTTTCAACTTCATCCACTTAAGGTAATCTGATTTTTCAGGGCAGTACTATATAGGTCTTATATTCATTATGTTCTTGGCGACGTATTGTACAACGTTCACGTTGGGAGTTCAAATGCAAGGAAATGCAGTAAGTGCAGACAGATATCTCTAGGTATGTGTTCATCTTACAGGGTCGTCCTATAAGCCGGCGTGTGAGATCGTTCCTGTTATCTATTCATATGAACAAGAACTCCATTGTACAATGGTTTTTCGGTCGTGAGCTTATTAATACACAAGAGAGTATAAAAATGCGACTCAAGAAATATGTACGTTTCTGAGAGATGTGAAATCCACTCATACATTTTCATTTTCAAATATTCTCGTAGTTTATTAGACAATACTTTAGGATAAGTTGACGGAGATTAAAAAAACATTCGCCAGCAATTTTCTTCAATTTCAGCAAAAGCTAATCAGAACCAACGATACCAAAGTGAGTCTCTCTCTGGTGGTCAAAAGATTCAAATAAATGATAGAACGATTTGCATAACTTACCTATATGCTGCATGCATTTATATGCCACCCACCCTTGCTTACTAGGATGTAGAACCCCATGTCGTTTTTCAGAAAACGCAAATTGTAACATCGCCTTCTACCACTCCCGAAATCGAGGATGCGCACAAGAGCTTAGATCCAGTAATGCAAAATCTTGGTTCGTTTTCTAATACTTATCATAAAAATAGAGTCAACGTCATCCTTCACCAATTCAATTATGAATTTCAGTGATGGATGTCCTCGCAGGAGTGCAGGCTATTCGACAAGATCTCACAGCTCAAGAACACTTGAAAAGAATCAGAAAGGAATGGCAAATGCTTGCCAGGTACATAATGTGGATTTCATATTTCACAAATGTCGTTCAGAATGCTTGAAAAAATGATTATGTGGATATTCATCATCTTTACAATCATGTTTGCCTGTTTCATGTTGTACGATACACAGGAAGAGCCGTTCATCTCGGAGGAATATATGTTGGAGAAGGCTAAGACATAAGCTTGACCTTGTGATATATTAATATAGCAAATAATATATCATATCTATCATGTAACTCAATTCATTCAATCATTTCACAGAAGTCTCAATTCACAGTCTAAGTAAAAGTAAACAATAAAGAGTAATTATGGGTAGTCATTGCAATAGAAACAAGAACAAGACAGATTCAGAATCCTTTGAAAGATAGAGGGTGAGACCTTGCACCTACATCTAGTCTACTAACAACAATTATTAATAAACTCAACAAAAACAGTGACTTACGTCTTTTTAACAATTGGGGTTTTAAACGTAGGAGGGGTTGGGTGTGTTTTAAGTTCAACAAACTGAAAAGGGGATTCAAACGGAATCGAATTCGAAAAAACCTTCGGTTGCTCTATTGAGCGCTTTTTAGAAAGAGGAGGTAAACAATTCAACAACATCTACAATTGATAACAATTAAACTATATCAGTATTCTCACAGACTGAAGAGTTTTCAGATTTCTTGGAAGAGATTTTACAGTTGGAAGTTCCATTCACCAACATGTCAACCTGAAATGACTAGCAAATAGCTGACTCAAACCTTCAAAACAAACGTCATCTCCGCAACCATCAGAGATTGCATATCCTGTAGCAGCAGAAAAGGACATACTGATATCGCTTCCTGACACATTCACAGAATCTGAAAATGCTTTGCTATCACAAGTACATGGGTACGAAGTGTACCATTAACAATAGGTGTGGAAGTGACAAAACTACGGTGCTTGCCCGGACCAGGTGTTTGGAAGTTTGATGCTCTAGAACAATTGAATTATCGGAACGCCTGCATGCCGATACTAGTAAACAACTCTAGAACTACGTACAGAATAGTGGCGTTGTGAGGGCCTTTCTTTCTTTCCGTCATTTCGTTCTGCTTCTTCAATTCTTGCATCACACTTACAGCCTTTTTTTTAAACTCTTGCAGCTTAATCATTTCTCTGGAACGACAAGTGTATATACCAAATGAGATTCCAATTTTGATACTGTTTATAAGCTTCTTTCTTTTTCATTTCAATTTTGCAAAAGTGTTCTAATTTCTCAAGTTGTTCTTTCTGCAAAAACTACTCTTAAACGTCTTTAGATTGTGATTTACTTTTGCACGGAGCTGTTTCATCATACGATTCCTATGCCCGCTTTGGAAGTCTAGAGTTCTGTTGATATCTTTTATGAAGGTATTCAGGGTCTGGTCCAAAGGCAAGAATAGTTCTCGAACCTGAAAGCCATGTGGTGCAAATCGCATTGGTGATTTGCCAAACCTCAGGTGGTAGAGATGAGTTAATCTCCAAGAGACGGGTTCCTTCTTTTCCACATTTTTTACATTTTGACCAGGGATGACTGAGATCTAAAAGAATATGACTATCATATGGAGAGCATTTTTTCCCCACTCTCCGCTACACAAGCGTGACAGAACGTGTGTCCACAACTTGCAATGAAAAACTTATTTCGACCAGCAGGCCTCGAAAAGCAAATCATACAATGGAGCAGATCAGTCATGGGATTATTATCTGATTTGTAATTACTCGATTTGGAACTGGGAGTAGACATTGCTGAGCAGTTGTCTGAAAACAACCCAAGAAGTGAATAAAGGAATATTAGAATAACAGCAAAATATTTAGGTAATATAGATCTGAACTAGTTCGAATAATTTTCAGTTTCCATAAGGAAAATGATATTTTATTATAAAACTCTGAGAAAGACGTTTTACTTACAGACATCTACTGAGATCACTCATAGCAAAATCTTGAACTATGAACTCAAATAAAAGTAATTACAGCTCTTTTGACAAGAAAACTACAGAAAACTAAAAAAAAAATAAATCACTTCGTGTAAGACAATAAAAATTCGGCTATGACGGGAATGTGATCAGAAGGGACATGCTTGTTGGGCCATGGCCCTAATGTGTTTTGGATGACATCAGCATCAGGTAATGTAAGGTATTTCAGTAACCGTAATCGTGTATCTTCGTAAACTTGACAAGTCTTCAACGTATGAATAAGCTATAACTTCAATAATATGAATCACTTACATTACCAACTCGGACTTTTCTTTTGATGGTGTAGAAAATGAAATCCGGATTAGCATTTTCAATATGAGCAGTTGACACATCCTTCTGGAACATATTGACTATGATATAAATGAAAAAATGAACAGCCAACCAAGTTATTGCTGTTCACATGATTGTACACCGAAGCCAACTGTAGAGGATGTGTGAATGTATCTTTCGGAATATCTTAAGAATTCACTTTAAAGGGTATAATATAAGGCAAAACCTCTATTTCCATCATCTTTGTACATACAATCTCTCAGTACTTGACATTCCTTGGGTAAGATGTAATCTGCATCTACAGTAGGTCCTCCAGTTTTACCTTGTCCGGAGAGCTCGTTTCTCGGAAGTCCTTTCAGGAAAAGACTATAAAATAAAAACCATAAAATTGAAGAGTATCGCATTTCCTTACGATGCCTCCGTGATGAAACGATACACATATGAATATGCTTCCATATTGAAATCACCCATGAGAATCAAAGGTGCTTCCCCATTTCTCATTTCCTGAAATATATAGGATGAGAAAACGGAGCATCAGACAAGAAACGTCATGGATGTTTGCGAACAAAAGCGCAAGCTGACCGATCTTGATATCTCCTCTTTGATTGTTGAAAAGAATGTGAGTATTCGCGATAATTACGTCTTGGCCATTTTTGAGACATCGTAACCGCAATATTTGTGCTAAAATGAACCATCGCATGTGGTATTCCAGTAAAGCAAAATACCTATTTGAGGTCTGTCCATTTCACTATTGTCTTTGACAAAATATTCAACGACACGATATTTGATAGACTTGAAAACGGACTTCTTATAAAATATGGCACAACCATCGACACATTCTCCTGTTTTTCTTTTGTAAAATCCTCCATAGCCACCTAAATATAATGAATTACTATTTTATAAACTGTAGAATATTACAGCCTGCTAACAGAGGATTGAAGTGGGAACTGAAGTGATCGTACTGAACCTCTTGGAAGCAAAAAACGTCTGCGTCAATACGCTCAATTTCTTTTTGCATAAGTTGCCATCTGTTCTTCCATTTCATGACATCAGGAGTATTTCTGAGAAAGTATCTGAATTATTAAAAGGGAAAATTTGTACCGAGCATGCTTGTAGAGATGCCGCGTTGTTTCGATCGTCAACTGACAGAGAACATTATAAGAGCATATCTTTATCACAGATGAATCAATATCAACAGGTAAATCCTAAATTACACGATCGTTAAAAAAATGAATTACGTGGGAAGTTAACCTGAGCAATCCGCCACAGTCGCGGGTGTACTTTGAAATCTTTATAACAACCTCTAGAAAATCCCGTATCCAAAGAAGGTTCACAATACTTATTCAAATTTGTTTTTCTCGCTGATGTCTTGAACAAAAACTGAATAGTGCAAATAACGAAGAGGAAAACAAACCATATCTCCTTGTGGTGATACCACTTCTTTGACAACTAACACTTCGTCTGTGCTTTCATCGTCTTTAAATTGTTATCAATTTCTTCGCGAAACGAATGACTTTGAGCGAACCTGAGTCAGTTAGCTCTATAACCTCTAGTTCCGAACTACTTGAAGAATCTCCATCACTTAATGACATTGGTTGATCAGCGTCAGCTAAATTATCCATTGAGGTATTTCTGGACATCTCAGAATCATTTGATGCCTTTCCTGAACAATCGATAATATAGCTTTTATTGATTGTTCGTCCAACCTGTATCACATATTTCTCCGTCTTCTGTATCACTAATTATATAAATCTCATCTTCCTCCGTGGAAACTACTGTCTCTTCTGTATTTACTTCTCTGTTTTCAACACTACTAAAACTGATATACAGGATCAACGTTCATTGTCAAACCCTTGAATGCTGCTCTCATCATCGTCTAAGCTCACAACAGGAACCTCAGGCTTTTTTTTATGCTTTTTGGCTTGAGTGATTGATATGAATAATAGTTTTACAGTAAGAAACTAACCTAGACGCGCAAAAATACTCTCCTGGTTCATATTTTGGGGCGAATCTCGCAAATTGAGATAAATAGGTAGTCTAGGTCTGTCGTTTGAGTGCTGTTTGTTGGAATAATTCATCCTGCTGTGATTGCTGTTAAGATTCATTCTCAAATAAAACCATGGCTGCTTGGAAGCTTTGCGTACACAAAGAATACCGTACCTGCCATAAGACGAGAAGCTGTGCGAATTATAACCTAGGTGCTGCATTTTTTTCTTTTTCTTAAAATTGCGTTGTTGTGCCTTCTTAATGCTGAACATATTCATAGAATAAAATCGATTTTGATGGTTTTTAACCATAATTCTCAGAGGACCTCAAATAAATTAATTAAAACGGGAAAGAACACAGAAGAGTTACAAACTAAATGAAGATGCGATTAATTGAACACAACCGTTCAAAAAAGCGCTAGAGAAATGTGGAGAGTAAAATCACGTGACTGAATTCCGATTAGCATACCAATCGATAAGTACACGATAGTCACGAAGATAATATACAACAAAACAATGCACGAGAACTCTCGTAACTTGTAATATTCCCATTATCATTTGGGTATCGTAATAGCATTAATGACGAGAAACGTGATCCCAGCGGAAGTTATTCGAATCAAGCGCTCCCGCTCGCTGTTCTGTACTGGAATAAATTAAATATTCGGATAGATAGTATACTTCATCCAATTTTTCACAAATCAGATTCTACACATAAACACACATAAATTCTCGCCTTAGCCAAGGATGGGCAACCTGATATGTAGTCTGGCAAATGCTCGCTCAACGTAGTTCGTTGCTAAATTTAGTAAAGATCATACTGCTAACGATTCTTCAAAAAATTTTCTGGCTTTCTTTCACGAGAACTAGATTTGTTTTCCCTTTTCGATAGGTTGGCTTATCAGTCAAAACACTTTCTTTCATTTGAACATTTTCACTTCGAAAAAATGTTTGAAAAAAAGTTTATTAACAATCCTGAATCAGTTGTGGATGATTCTTTAAAAGGACTAGTTTTGAGCTCGGGAGGTCGTCTACATTTCGCTAAGGTAATTCATACTTATTACTAAAATACTCATACGGTAACTTAAGGGAAGCTCTAGGGTAGTGATCAGAAAAGGACAGTGTGAAAAAGATAAAGTGAAACTCATATCAGGAGGAGGATCAGGTCATGAGCCTTTTGCTGCTGGTATGTCATCTCCTCATGAGTTCATAAAAGTGACAATAAGGTTATATCGGAGAGGGTATGCTCGATGCCGCTGTTTGTGGGGATATTTTCGCATCACCACCATCCAGCAACGTACTACTAGCTCTTGAAGAAACCAAATGCTCAGGTTAGTGTGAAACTAAGTGCATACTGAACAAGTTGATTGAGCTGGAGCAATACTTTTTGTCATAAACTATACAGGAGATAGATTGAACTTTGGACTCGCGGCTGAAAAATTCAAAACAAACCGAGGAAAGGTTGTGGTAAGCAAACTTTGAAAATTAAAAATAAAACGTACACAAGGTTATAACCATTGGTGATGATATCTCCTTGGAGAAAGAATCAAAAACCGGAAGAAGAGGGCTGGCTGGAGTTGTATTCATAATCAAGGTAGTTAGCGAAATTCTACTTTAACAATCTCGTTAAAGATAGCTGGTGCCATGGCTGATAGAGGGAATAGCTTGGAAGATATCGCAGCGTTCTGTGAGAGAGCTAACAGCCATATCGCCACGATTGGTGTATCCCTATCGCCTTGTAGCTTACCAGGTAAAAAACAGATGTTCGAGTTGGGACAGGATGAAATGGAAGTGAGTTGAGCAATCTCCAAACCCTGGTATATGCTTGCAGGTCGGACTTGGAATACACGGTGAGCCGGGAAAGGAAAGAACGACGCTCAAAAAATGTGCAGAGATAGCCGAAATCTTATTAAACAATTTGACACAAAATAAAAACAATGGTTCGATAAGGTGCATTTGGAAAAGCGAAAAGTTCGGATTACAGACCTAGATGTAGTTCTGATGCTGAATAACTTGGGATCAACTTCGCAGATCGAACTAAATGTATTATTGGGAGAGATTCTACGACTATCTAGTAAAACAAATAATAACTGTCAAATGTGATGTTATTCATAAATTAAAGAAGATAAAGGACTGCGCGTGCAGAAAGTGTATGTCGGATCGTTTATGACCTCTATAAATGGACATGGCGTCAGTCTCAGTTTGTTAGAAGTATTCTCGAACCGCATCTTAGAGCTATTAGGTAATGACAAGTATGCAATCAATTTAAGCGCGCGTCATAAATTACAGTACGACATTTTGAATATTTTAGATTCTCCCGCCGACCCGGTTGTTTGGAACAATGGTTACTATCTGGGAAACGTTATTGACATCCCGTCATTAAGTGTTTCAAATGATAATTCGAAAAGTCCAAAGCAAAACCCTGTGGAGGACAGTTCGTTGAGTGAACAGATGAGAATTGTTAAGGAATGTGTTTTGAACGTTTGTCAAGAGATGAAAATAAGAGAACTAGAGCTAAACGAACTGGATGGCAAAACTGGTGATGGGGACTGCGGATCCACATTTGCACGAGCCGCTTTAGGTAGCAGATGCTACCTCAAATGTTTATTATGAATACTTTAGCTATCGAGAAAGCTATAGATAACGGTCACATTCAGTTCTCCGATTATGGTTCAACTCTTTTTGATATCGCTGAACAATTCGAGAAAGAAGTTGGAGGGACGAGTGGAGCTGTGAGTGATTAAAAGAACATCAACGAAATTCAGTTCTGTTAGATTTACGCTTTGATGATTGGAGCAGCTTCTACGGAAATCAAAGAGGGACTGTCATTCGAGTTTGTCAATGCGTTGAATAAAGCACTCGGAACCATAATGAAGTACGGAAGAGCTGTACCTGGAGACAGAACAATGGTATACATCGAAGTTTTTATCCGAGTAGTTTCAAATTTATATAGGTTGATAGTTTAGCAGCAGCAACCCATGAAGCAGAAAAAAGCGAGAAATTAGACTGGCATGATGTTCTAGAGGTTCAATGTTAAGTAAACTACAAGAACTAAGAACTTTATAGGCGACGCGAAAAGCTGCTCTATCTACTGCTTCAATGAGAGCAAGCGCTGGGAGAGCAGCCTACACATCTGACCAAGTAAAAGCAACGGTTTAACTTCCAAAACTCTCTTTGATTTCAGATGCAAACGGAGCCAGATGCAGGAGCCATGGCTCTTTACTACTGGATGAGTGCTATCATGAAAAAATTGTGAACACCACAACATTACGAATAAATATTCATTTCGCTCAAAAAAATTATTCTAACTCAATATACTTGGTTAAAATCTGAGCTCCTTCTGTAGTCAAGGCAACCGCTTCACAGTCATTCAATGTCTGAAACAGTTGCCATTTTGAGAAGGTGAAAAAGTTCTAACTTTCAGGGAAGTGATCGAAGCGTTGAACTGTTTGAAAGAATCAACTTTCCCAAACATTTGAGGATCAGCAGGTTGCGTCTTAGGACCGCCAACAATGTTTCGAGTTTTATAAGCCAGCATTTTCTGTTATACTGTTCAATGAAAGATATCGTATCAGAAGACAAACCCCTTTGAATGTACCAATGAGCACCAAATCTCCCATCACACAACCACAAGTTATGGAGTCGTATTTCCCCGTCAACTCAAGGTTTCCAATATGTTCGCCATTTAGTTCATCATTCTGTTTTAAGAGATTGAAATATTAAGAATAACTATTGCACTCACTTCGTACACAAACTTCCAAACCATTAATGGACCGAAAGTTGAAGACAACAACACATATCTTGCGTTAGAAGGTTGAGGTTTAGTATCAGGAAGAATGAGAGCCACAGACACTGGTGCCGTAAACTTCACCACTTGCCTTAACTTGGATCATTCAGGGCATTAGGAGATAGAACTCACTTCTTGAACTTCATCCCTGTTTCAAAGCTAGTAAGAGTGATAATAGCATAACCAGTGTCAAAACCATAAATATGCCAACGTGATGAATTGAAATGTCTCACATCACATCTTATTACAACACCAGGAGTCCCTACAAACGTGGACAGAGAGAGAGCCTCATCAGGGACATTATCATACAAGCTTATCGAATCTCCCTGAAAAAAAAAACAAAAATAAGATGAAAACTATGTTATGAACTCACTTTGACTTCATAGAGTAATGGCTCAGTAGCGTTTTTAGATTCTTTAGAGGTGAAACAGACGCAAAACTTTTTTACTCCAGCTTTGTCATTGATATGAGCATAATAGCAATGAGCTATTCTCACTGAAGTACCTAGAACTTTCTGAAATTCTGATAATGCAAAGAAGAATTGAAAAGGAAACTTACATGGCTAACCAGAATAAACTCTCTCTGAGGGCTGATACGAAAAGTTGCAAAATAGTACCCGAGGGGAACGCAATGACTGCTCAATTCTACCCAACTGAAAAAGATCTTGAGTATATGTTCTTCGCTAATAAAACTGTACAATGTGAATAAAAGAGATGATTTGTTCGGAAGAAGATCATTAGTAACGTCTCCGCAGATGAACTCGAGGAAATTTCCATTGGAGAACTAACAGACGTGATATTATCATATTTCAAAGCTTAAACATACTTTGAAAGGTAAGAGCGTACTTAAATGTATTGGAATGTTAGGTTTATCGAGAAACACTAAAGAGCCTTCAACGGAAACCAAAATTACTAGCTTATGATTCTCTACATCATCATTCTTATCTGAAGTCACCGTTATGCAATTCGTGAAAAAGTTAAACTCAAATACCTTGCATAGGATTGTTGATGACTAGACAATGATTACTGTGACGAAAAGGGGTGAAATCAGATAATGTATACTTATTTACACGTTTAACACTCATCTGAAGATCGAAATATAATATACTATTATAGTTTGATATACCTTTGGTTTGCTTTTCTACTGCTTTGTCTGTTTCAACAACTTCGTCCGACTCTTCAGCAGCTTTCTCAGTGGTTCGGTGGCAGATCTGAGATTTGATACTAAGAATAGTCAGAAATATATACCAACATCGACCAAATCACTCTTCACTAATTTGACCAACTCTTGCTTGTTTATAGCACACTTTTGGGGTGCGATTTTCCTTTGAATTATATTGGGTTGAATGGGTTGATCTACTACGAAGTTGTCCTCGAACCCCAGAGCAGAACTAGAAGGCTCACTCGTTAGCAATTGAAATAACTTAATAATCGACGTTTGAAAAGGAAAGCATCGAACAGAAAACCTGGTGATCGTTCTGAGTTGCTATATCACTCAAAAACTTTTTTGCGGTAGTTTTGTTTGGATCTTTAAGAGCTTGCAGCTTCCTTTCTAAGCAAAATGGTAAACAATTGTATGCGATTGGAGCAACAAACCTAATAAAGCTAAATATTCTCTATCTACCTCACGCTCTACTTGCTCATTAATGTTCATTTAATCTGAAAATATTTTCAATTACCACATTGTCTTATCTAAGAAGTTACAACCGTCCCGTCTACGGCACAAATATAAATCAATTGGTTCAGTACGCAGTATGCAAAACTGGCGTCAGCTGGAAAATTGGTACGCCAAGAATTCGATTCGCGCCAAGTTCAAATAAATAAGTCTGTTATCAATTAGCTTATTGAATAAATTAAACTAACAAAAGGTAATTTAAATATGGTGGTGACATCATCAACCTCAGCCTTAGCAGATAAGGCTATTCAGTTGGTTCAGCAATTGAAACGAAATCCAGATTTCCTACCACCGTACAATGTATGTTTCGCTCACATCTATAATTTACATATTCTGAACTTCAGGATGACATTATGCGATTCTGTGCCGCAGGAGTTTCTGAATTGTATAACCAATGTGCGACTACCTTGTGAGTTCAACTTCGTAGGATAGTTTTGACAAAACCGTTCAGCCAAACCGTTCGAAATAGTGGTGGTACCCAGGAGTCTCTACAAATCAACGCTTACAGACACGAGGTTATAAAGTTCGTAATTGTAAGTTGAAAATCTTTAATTTGATAACTGTAGTTTCTCGAACAGCGTTGCTGTTCTGCGTATGTTAATGAAAGAGGAAAAAGAATAAAATCCTATCGTTGGAAGTATGGTGGAGTTTTGCCCATGACTGTTAAGGTTAGTCTATCTTCAAGATGAACATTTTAAAACGCTAGTTCAGAACAACTTATGTGAAAGCGAAATTGAATTTTTCAACAAATATTGTACTAATCTTGCTACTTTCCAAGTAAGTTTTGTTTTTCATTGTCTCTTGCACACATATGTTCTAGGTAGCTCTTGGTGAGAATGGGCTCGATCTGATGCGCTATACTCACCCTCCTACGACTTTATACTTACAAGTATGTTTCAAGTTTTAATATTGTATTCTATATTGCACAGGTACGTGTCTTAATGGACTATGGTCAGTTTGAAACTTCTGATGGAAATATTGTGATGCTCAAAAAAAGTTCAATAGTAGGTTTTATTTACATCATTTGAAAGACACCGGACTAACTAGTTAACTAGAACCCATTTTGTGAAAACACCATATGGCGTTCCCTAAGAGAATTTAAGAGTTTTAAGTAGTGATATTCCTTTTAGCACTCGCTTCCTCGTCAGGATTGTGAACTGCTGATCAAGCAAGGAGTTTTCGAGATCGCCAAATGAGAAAATGCTCATTACCATTTCATGGATGGACTGTAGCAGAAATCGAAATTTTCTTCACGAGCTGGTTCTCGTGCTTCTCTGAAATGTTCTTTTTACAGTTGTCTCTGGATATTCAAGAGTTATATCAAAAAACTATCTTCAACAGAATAAATGTTTCCAAAAAAGTATTCAAACTTACTATCGGGAGAGCGATGATGTCGAACGTGATGAGTTACTGTTTTACCGTCTTCTATACTTAACGATGATCTGAAAAAGATTGCTTTTTGAAAACGAGAAGAAAAATATTTTAATACCGTCTTCGATGGCCTGAATATTTCCTTTCATGTTTCGGTGATGGCTGATGTTCAGATTCTTCCGAATCCACGCTTTTGTAGGTTCGGAGTGGAGGTCGAGAAGAGGCTGATTTAGATCTGTAAAGCAAGTTTTGTGCAGGTCTGAGTGTTTTGGCTAACTTGACTTGCATGCTCTGTGAAGAGAGCTTAGAGCCATGTTCCTCTGGATGCTTTCCAACTTCTTCGGCTTTGATGATGAAATGATTATTGTTTGCGTGTTGCTTCATTTCTTTCGGATATTCAGTTTTTCGTATCTGAAATAATATTTTTTTAGTTTTTAGCTATGTTTTGCTGTTTGGTCACAATCATGATGAGAGACACAGCTGTTTTTAACGTTTCTTTTTTCTCTCTTAGTGGCACACTGCCTCTAAGATGTCTTGATTAACGAGCTAATCGTTGCGATCTTATGATCGAAAGACATAATTATTTATGAAATTCAGTAATGACATGAAAAAATGTGAAATTATGATACCTCAATCTTATAGCTCTTGGTTGTTTGAGGAACGGGTTGCGATGAGAACTGAGTAACAACTTCTTTCGGTCGGCCATCTTAAAATGAAACTTGCTTCAGACTACGCAGTTCAATTACTTGATTTAAAATCTTTTTTAGAATCTCCTGAATTACGCTTGTGCTGATGCATAGCTGGATTTTCATTACCAAATCTAAAAAGAATGTTTTCAATGCAGGTTAAAACTAGTGAGTACTTTGCTTCTTTATGGAAGTTTTGTAGCTCTTCAGCCATACGTGTTTGTGAGCTACTTGATCTCCGCCCTTCAGATATAAGTCTTGGTTTTCTTGTTTCGTCTACAGTGTTTGTAACATATGAATCTGATCGACGATGTTGATGATGTGGTGAAGGTGGTGTTGTTTTTAGTTTAAGTGAATCATGAGAATCACGTCGACTTGATTGAGGAGGAGATGGATTGGAGCCTTGTGTTCTTAAGAAATATTATTTGTTACTTGTTTGTTGAGAATGCATACTGCTCGGAATGTTTCAAAGGAACTACTTCATCTTCTAAAACTGTGTTCTGGCTGAAGTTCCATTGCACTCGGAAACCCTTTTTGGCTGTTTTCTTAGGTTTGCTTTCGTCATACTGTCCCTTATACTTAAAGTAAGGATATACATTGTGCAATGTATTGATTAAATTTACCTGTTGGAATCCTCCTCCCCAGCTTGTTGTTCTCCACAACCCATTCTCTTTTGCAATCCGTACCCGCTCACTGCATCGTTCAAAAGCACTTTCACGTCTTCTACGGGATTCTTCGATACCCTGCGAAAAAATATATAAATGAGTATTGTGATTCTTACTTACAGATATGTACATGCTGCAACGAACAACAGCTGAGAATAAATAACTTTGGAACGCTGCTAGAACTAGCAATACAGCAGCTAACCACATTCTCTCAATGAGGGATTGCATCTAAAATGTATCTTTTGTACATGAAACATACTGAGACATACCACAAATGGTCTAGCGTGGACGTATAAATCGCCGTAAAAATAAGACCAAGCATGTAACAAAAAATATCCTAAGGAAAACAATAGAAACAATCCTTGTACTGCCAAATGTGGAAGTATTAAACATGAGGTATCTGACAAGAGACCACACATAAGCAGCAATATCTGTAATCAGTCTGTTGCTGGTATACTCTAAGTGGAACGTACAGATGCCAGAATGAATATCATCATCAATATTACTATATAATCAAAAATGACTGTAACATTGAAATGACTGAATTGAAATATTAAGCAGTCTCTAAGAAAGCTGAAAAGAATTTCTTTTTTTGAATATCTGACTGTCAAGACATACTTAGAATTTTTGCATTCTGTTGAATTTTGATTTTTCCACATGATTTGTTGGATAACAGTAATCAAGACGAAAATACTAACCATTGCTTCTATTGCACCGAGAAACACAGTTCCTAAAATTGAAAATTGAAAATGGGTTTGGGATATGATTGAAGATCAACCGTCTACTCAAAGTTAAAAACTAAAATGATGTCTCTTCACGTGGAAAACGTGGAATCTTTTAATTAACATAGGGTTGTACGTTGTACGATTGGTTAGCAGATCAGTGATATGATAGAGAACAGTTTATATATGAGCACTAACCACATTTAATATGACATATATTACAGCATGTCCGATATCTATCTTTTTCAAATTTAGGACTATTTAAGTCATTCCGCCTCCTATCGGGAGTGACCATAATTAGATTATATAATGGTTGGGTAAGCTGAAATCTGAAAAATGGAATTAAAAGACACGAAGCTGCTGAAAAACGAATTGAGAAGAGCAATGATATAACGAGGAGGTTACGATGACCTCTATCTGGACTTCAATCTTTTAACATCATTTTGAAATGTGAATATGTGATCATCTTGTCGTGCTTAGAACCAAGTTGAGATGGAAACAAATGAACAGCAGATAGAGTTGATGAGTCATATTAGAAGAGAAGTATAGAATATAAAGACAGGATAAGGAGATGAAAATAAAAAGAGGATTTGATGAAGAGAGGATTAGAGGGTGAGAGAGGGGAGAAAGAGAGAGCGAGGGAATTGAAAAAAGGAGGGATTTTCATTACACTTCGCACGTTATTTCGTGATGAGATACGTGTAAGCGACAGGTAGAGATAAGTAAAAAGAAACTTTTAACATAAGCTCGAAGCACGTTTTCTTTATTTTTCTGGAGAGAGAGGGAGGCAGAGAAACCTTTGTCTTCTGCAAATTCTTGAAGAACCTCTATCTGTTGCAAAATCAATCAGAAACTCATTATATTATAGGTGAGGTGAAATCTATTGGACCAAATAGCTCGGTTATATTACGACACAAAACGACAATTGCTCGGATCGGACAAGCGATTTTCTCTCGTCCATTCGAGTCTGGCTGATATGCTCGAAGTTGTGATAGAGGGAGAGATGAGGTGCAAATGAAAAAGTATGTTCCCATCTTCTCTAATCTCTTGGGTTTACCTGTTTCTCCTCCTTCTTCCTCTTTCTCTCATAAGATTGTATGATCTTCATAGTTAGTGGTAAGTTAGAAAATTTATAGGAAGAATAAGATGTTTCAAGACACATTAGAAGGTTTAGCATCTGTCCTTTAAAGGAGCAAATTGGTTAAACCTTCGCAACAGGTGTGAAGCTGACAAGAGGTTGCAGAGCTGCTGCAGAGTTGAATAAGAGCTGATAATGTTCACGTTAATCCCACATTTTTGAGATAAGATTCAGCGATTTATTCTTTTCATTCGAATCTTCAAATACATCTGTCATTGGACGAGATGCTTTTTCATTCGAGTGAAAATAGTATATTGAAGACCTTTGATCCAGTATAAGAAGGACTATGATATATGAGCTTCGTAAGCTTCCAATTATCAATCGTCTCAGCGAAAACACCTTACGAACTTGAGACACATCTCAAATCTTTGATTATAGAACAAAACTGAAGAACTGAAAATAGTGAATCAAATATGGGCTATCAAAGACGAAGCATGTGAGGCAGCAAAAATTGAAAATATATTCATACAATGGAGCTTTCAAGAATTTTTTGTCACCTGACTTGTGTTGATAGGTCAAACTATCTGATATTGACCTTTCAAATGGCGAAACCTAAAAAAAACTAAAAGAATCTGGAGAAAATAGACTAATATCTGAGAGCAAGATGGTATTTCTTAGAAAAAGAAAAAAACAAATAAACGACATATGAAAAAGCAGTTGTTTTCTTTTGATTTCTGAAAGAATGTCAGCATAAAGTGAGGAAGTCTGGATGAGAAGGAAAACATTCTGAAGAATATACAGCTGGGGAGGAGAAATGACCAGCTGATTGAACTTAGCAGAGTAAGTGACAGTTGATCAAAGTCATCAAAGCTCCTCCGAAGTAATACAATTGGAGTTATAATTTCACAATCAAAGAAGAAGATCAAGTTAAAGCTTTTGTGGCAGTAAGCCTATTCATTCGTTCATAAATTAAAAAAATGAGTATAAAAACATATACATTTATAATAGAAACATCTTCTGCCCAAACATAGGAATAGCAACTAAGAATCTTGAGCTGATTGAGCGGAGAAGGGGGGAGGAGGTTGGTTTAGAAGAACTTCTGCCAATCATCAGTTTCATTTCTGAAAAACAGTTATTTATACGTTTCGTTTGATTATTTTCAAAGTAGTTATCATAAAAAAATGAGATGAAGGAAGTGGATTTGATGGGATTTAGGTATATTGAGACAGGTGGCCACCATAGAGCCTATTTGATTGCTTCAAACTTTTTTCATTTCAATTACAACTTGAATCGTTTGATGAGAGCGATAAGAACATGCTCATCAATAGTTCAATGGATAAATGGCTTTTTAACAGAGGAACATGTTTTTATCCGTCGAAAAAAAAATTTAATTTTAGATTCAAACTCACTGAAGAACATCATCCTTTGTAATTATTTTATTCTTCTGGAAGATTGTGATCATTTGTTGAGGTACAAACCGAGGACCAGCTCCCGCCACCGCTACGACTTTATTATCTCTGAATCATTCCATTAGATATCTATTAGAAAGAGAGAGAGAGGATACTCACTTGAAGTAGTATTTCACAAAGTTCATTTCGTCAACATCCCCTCGAATGAACGTCTCTTCATCCCCAGTGGCAACTCCTACGCAGAACTGTCTTCAGATGAACTAACTAATGTATTACCTGAGAAAGCCACACCAAACTCGTAGAAGAACACAGACCAGAAGAATGGAACTAATGGCTTTGGAACTGGCTTTCCTACTATGCTATATCCAAGATGTTCACCTTAAAATAGAATGAAGGTAAGATTTGAGGAGAATTTAAGAACCATGAGATTGAGCAGTTTGGAAATGCTGAATATTGTGAGAATCTAAGTTCCAACGATCAATAGGTGCAGCACAAACATCTCCAATGGCATATACCCAATCGACGTTTGTCTTTAAAAAAAGTATTCAAATCTGTTTAGTTTGCTAAACGTACTCGGAAGTGCTTGTCTACAGGAATGAATCCGCGCTTATCCAACTTGATATTGGAACTCTTGAGGAAGTCAGTGTTTGGAAGGACACCTTATATAGATCATGAGGTTGGATGAAATTGAGCAAATGTACCTATTCCAGCAATAACAACATCAGCCGGTAGCTCAGTTCCGTCTCTGAGTGTGACTCCGGTAACTTCGGTAGTTCCTTGTATTTCAGCAGCTTGTGCTGAGCAAATAATTTTTATACCTTTTGCTTCGAAACGCTAGAGTGTAACTATTAAATAAGGAATTAAAAGCAATTCAACTTTGCGAACAGCAGCTCCAATCTCATTTCCGAAGGCAGGTAAAGGTTCCAAAGAACTGCTTAGAACAGTGACGGATGCTGCAAGTTTGTAAGTACTTGCGGCAATCTCCAAACCTGAAAAACAGTAAGGTTTCAATTAAAATGGTTGAAACACACCAATGAAAGATCCTCCGATGCAAACAACATGCTTATCTTTGACAGCTTCTGCAATGGCATGCGCGTCTTGCAGTGTACGAAGGTAGAAAATGTTCTAAAATTAAGATCGAAATACAGGAAGCTATTCACAGGGACTGTACGTTCAGTCCATGACCAGGGATAGTCAACTTCCGAACAGATCCTCCAGTAGCGACTACCAATTTCGAATAACCAACCGAGCCTCCATTCGATGTGGTAATTTGACGTCTAGTTGTGTCTACCTCAGTAACCTAATATAATGAACATAATTAATCGTCCTTTGGAACACTTTTTTTATTTGAAAATGTTGAACTCTATGCTCTGAAGTTATTTGAATATCTCCCACCTTTGTGTTGAGCATAATTTCGACACCGTGCTGTTTGTAATAATCATCATCACGAAGGCGGCAGCCATCAATAGCTACACTAGGGTTCTGAAAACTAGTATTGTAGCTTTGCTATATGGAGACTATTTACTTTACTCAATAAAACTCTATCATAAGGCAGAACATCTTCTTCCGTTACCATGGTGATTGGAGTGTTCACACCATTAATCCTAGCATGTTCAATGAAGTTAGCAGCAGCAGGGCCTATAATTAAAGGTTTCCTCTGAGCTTCGACAAACCCTGAGTCTCACCTGAGCCAACAACAATAATTGGGTTATCTTTGATGAGCTTGACGCTCTTAGCTTCTTTTCTTCTCCTATTTGATTCGAACTTCTTCTCAGTTCCGAATAAGACGAGGTTATCATCAATTTTCCGAACCTATAGGAACGATATGAAGTCGTTCAATTGAAGAAAAAAACGAACTTCAAAAGCATGCAAGTTGTCGAAACCTGGATAGTCTTCTATATCACCTGTTTTCATGTTAAAACAAGCTCCGTGCAAGGGACAACGAATTTTACCATTATGATAAAAACCTTAAAATGCTATATTGTAAACAAAAATAACTGGAACCATCGAAGCGCAAACCTTTGTCTAATGGAAAATTATAGTGAGAGCACAGGCCACTGGTTGCGTAGTATTTATTATTATCATTCACCACTAGAATTTTCTTCTCACGTACTTCATACAGCTTCTTACTGAAATGACTATGTGGTTAGAAGAAGTGCATGGGATACTTTAGAAAACATACGCTCCATTTGGCAGATCAGAAGCTGGACCCAAAACTTCTCTAACCACAGGTGTGTCGTCGGTAGCTATTTCCGGTTCGACCTGCTTAGGGCCACAGCAAAGCATACTGAAATAAAAAAAAAGTGAAACAGGAATAGAATACATATAGCTTGGTTAACATCGAATTGTTTTCTCTAATGTGTAAATAACAAGAAACAGATTGAGCTCATTGAACTCTGAGTAGACAATGACCGAGGTTTGTCGAAAAACGAGGTTATGTATTCGGACAACGGTCTGAATGAACATCGAAACCTTATTTATTAATATTCTCATAGATTGCACGGAATTATAAGAGAGCATAAGACGTAGATAAGTAACTTTAGGAACTTTCTTCGATATGAAAAAAAGATTATATGTGTGTGTGTAGTCTACAGAGCTTACACACCCTTCACTGCGAGACGAAGTCGGAAAATGAGAACTAAAAGGAAAACAGAGCTAACGAGATTCTTTTTCAATTTTTAGAACAATTCAGTTATAGATGATTGACTGAACAGACTATATAACCTTCCGGACACGTGAAAAGCGGCACATGATTGAGTATTTTACTAAATGGAAAACTGAGTTGTCATCTAAGCTTAACTGTTAAGTAATAATTGTTATCGAGCACATTGGTTTGAGATATATTGAAAATCTTGCACTTTCATAGTCCATTCACTGAATGTGTCGCTTATGAGGGAGACAGAAAACATAAAATCAAAAACTGGGCGATGCCCTTGCCCATAAAACGTTGGCTTCTCAGATAGGTGACTAATAAAGCAACAATTAAAAATCATTCATATACAAATTCACTACAATCATGGCGAATTTGATGCTATCACAAATGTTTTGATTGTCTTGTATCTCTAATCTCCGTGATTTCTTCCCGTTCACAATCATCATTTTCAATTGTGAATTGCGGGGAAGGAAGGAAGAGGGGAATGAGGATATGCCATACGATCTATAACGGAACTTTGGTCTAATATATGAACCTAGCTAGTTGCTAGTTCACCATAGAAACAGAATCAATTCAGTCAAGAATTGAATAGCTTGAGAGTTTCATCATCTATTCCCCAAATATATCACAAAACACACGTGAAACTGCATTTATACTTCATGTGAACAAGTGTCTGAAGTCTCAGATTCCCAGTTCAAACCACATTTTAATAGGGTTAATAACAATTTTCCCAACATGGCCTATCATCGTTTCCCGAATAATCAGAAGCAATTGTTCTTTGAGACGTTTCTCACTTAATCATCTCAACTTTCTTCTTTTTTTCTTTTTTTTTCGGGGAAGTCGCAAAACGTTTGACCCGTCATCTACTTGCTTCAAATGTATTCTGTTTCGAAAACCGCAAATACATTCAGAGACACTTATTACAAATAAACTTTGAACCTTATGAACTTCAATTCATTTTTGTTATCAACACTATCGCTTCAACTTCGAACTGTCCTAAGAGCCTTTGACGCAGATTCGCATGAAACATTCGCATTCCTCAAATATGCAAAGAAATTCAAACGTTGTACATCAAAAGTTACGCGCTGCGCTACATTTTGAGTAAACTCTAAGGTTCTCGGAAAACAACCGCTCTGTACTTTTCCAATGCGCCGAATGTGGTTCCATTGTTTACGTGGTTTACGTGGAGTATAACTAATCAATAAAGCAAACAAGACCTTTACTACAGAACATATTGAACCCATTCTGCAGATTTTTGGGAAAAAAAACATTCGACTGCTGTTATAATAGGTTTATTGCCTTTCCTTAATGGGCAGGAAGAACCTAATCGCTATTCAAAACAATTTCCGCACTTGAGTTAATCCGTTTTTGAAGTTTGAGGGGGAAGCTCAGAAAATGATCAAAAAACATTAAAATTATGGGTTTTCAAAGCATATGCAAAGCATTTTCTGCTGATCCGGTTAGAGAAAACAAACTACTCTGACTATTTAAAGGAATCATAAACACGGGCATTGTATGTTAATATTAAAACTTTTAAAACTCACTCATTTTCGGAAGACATATTGTAACGGCTTGGATGCTGAGCAATTTGAGATTCTCTCGTTGTTCTGTCTTTCAGCTGTGAAAGAAACCAGTTCAAGCACACCACGTATTTTCCTGCATCTTTCTTTCTCTATGTTTCTCATGTTTTCACAGTCCCATTGAACTTCGATGTTTACTGACTAGCATTGATAGAGCCAGACAGACAGAGTAGATAAGAAATAACAATTAAGTTCAAAGAAGTATCATACATACTATAAATAAACATTTTTTTCCATGAGAATTGGTGACTCAAATCGATAGAGAAACTGTCTGAACATAAATCATAACATGATCCTTGATTGGTTTTGAACTAAGTGAGAGCAAATAGTTTGTCTAACTGACTTCTTTGAATAGCACTACTGTATTATGATATCATCAACACACCTCTGGGCTTGTATATATAAGTCGTCCTTTGCTAACGTCCTTTCTCTACCTTATTGTTTCCAACACATTCACCATTTTTTTTCTCACATCTTTTCTTTCCGTAGTGTTCGTCTAACATATTGTAATATTGCGCCAACAAGGATGCTGACAATATGTTGTTAAAATTTGTATTGATTTGATCATAAACGACTAATTTGATTTCCTCGTTTCTTTCAATTTCTGTTTTCCTCAAATTTAGTTGACTCTCTAGATTGACTATGCGTTCAATCACACTTTTCGTGCTCAGTATTGTAATAGGAAGTGCATTCGCATGCAAGTGCTTGCCTCTTAAACCTAATGACGCTTACTGTAAAGCTGATTGGGGTTAGTTACTTCAGAGTCAATCATTTATCTCAATTATTCTAGTATCCCATGTCAAAATCAGACTTCGCTCCACAAAGCAACCCAATTCTTCGGATCCTAACCGTCCAGGATTGAACCATATCAAGTACGACGTTGAACATGTGAAAGTCTTCAAGGTGACCATATCTTGTTAAATCTCCGATATAACTTTCTCAACAGAAGCCAAATGATGTCCAAACACTGCCAACTCAAATATTCACACCATCTGAATCAGCTGCTTGTGGATTGATCCTCGATACTGGAAACGAATACCTTCTCGCAGGTTTCGTTCATAATAGCTTTATCATTTAACCAGAAAATATTTTTTACAGGAAGAATGAATAATGGTAGTCTGACTACAGTCATTTGCGGACAAGTTCTTCCCGAACAACCCGTAGAGAACGCTTCTGGTGTTGTTCTTCAATGGTCTCAAGTACCTAAGGACCTGGCTCAAGCTATACCAAACTTCAAATGCTAAAATGATTCATTTTTTTGTTGTTGTGAAAAGTACGTAAAAACCCGCAAATAATGAGAAATTACAAATGAAAAACGAGATAATTTGAGACGAGGCTAAACATTGAAATCTAAGATAACTTCAACGACTATTATTTTTTCTCCATTTTGGGTGGAGGATGAGGGCGATGTCCATCATTTGGCCTTTTATGACTCCTGTATGCTTTGGCCATTATATATCTATTGTAAGAGATATTAATCATATGAACCATGAGAACTCACTGAATAAGATTCTCTTTCTCTATTGGATGGAGCATACTGTTGAACACAGATCTGGCAGTGTTAAATGAGTTAGGAAGCGACTTGTCCGTTCTTTCCCTCATGAACTTCCACGTTCTAGTTTTAACCTATAAGATATTCATCAATCTTCACCACCTGCTGAAAACTTACTTCATAAGTGCATTCGATGATTTTATTATCATAAGGTAAGAGAGATCTGGTGGCTTTCATCTGATCGAACGGTTCACTACTGTGTTGTACGTATAAATATCCGATATGTTCTGCTAATTGGCCTTCTTTTTGAGTCCTTAAATTTGTCAATCAGTGAACGAAGAGATTTTTCTATAACTTTCGGATTTGTAGCTTGAAATCAACTGAGTTGTGGGATGGAGGCTTCCATTTAAGAACCTTGTCACAGCGACCAGGAAGATAGGGCTGAAAATGAAAAGCTTCATGTCAACATCCAGGTTGTGCTCACCATTTTGACGGGTTGGAAAATTAAACCATCAACTTCATGGCCGAGATTTTGTTGAAAAGCGGGAGAAAGAATTTTCTGGACCTTAACAGAAAAAATAACTCATGAGCTTAGGAAGAATACTAACAGTTTCCAAAGGCCAGAACTCCTTTATTCGAACGGACATGCTCTGCTTTTCTCTAGCCATATGACCACTCTACAATCGGAAAGTAGTGTCGAGGTACGTCGTAGGAGACGATTACCTCCATAGCCTTTGTTCTCGGTTTTATAACTTCGTTATAGAGACAAAACCGTCGCTTCTCGAAGTCGTCTTTAGCTACTCGAAATTCCTTAAGAAATAGGTGTGTGAACCTGCATAAGGGGAAGGGGTTCTAACCTCGAACTGTATGATATCATAGATCAGAAGCCTAGGCATTGTACCTCCAGGAACCTACAAACAATAATTTGAACAAAAGCAGAATCGAAATTACATTTTCAATGATCATTTCCGCATCAACCAAAGTATTAGACAAATGCCTAGTGCCGGAAGAATGAGGAAACTCGAGGTTGTTGATGATGAAAATCTGAATATTTAAAATGATTAAAGCTATTAGGAATAAAATCACCTCGTTATCACGGTCAAAAGCATAGACTTCATCTTTGCCACCAATATACACCATATATCTGCGATATGAGATTAGATCCAGTAGACGTATACAAGGCTCACCTCATGCCGTCAGCTTTCCAAGAAACTAAGAACTTCTCCTTACTAAAGAATTCGAGATTGTTTCTTTCATTGGAGCACTCTAAAGAAACTGGCTGAAGACCAGGGAAACCTTTTCGGTCATACCGACAGAGCTCTTTGATCTCAAATTATAACATTAGAAGGGATTTTAGGAACTGAATCATACTTTTGCTTGAAGCAAACTTCTTTTTTCTGCATCCTCTAGTAAACAAACTTCTTGAACCAAACCGTCCATGAATTGTTTTTTCGCTTTTCCTCCTTAACGGCTAGTATTAAGAGTTGCAATGGCGGTAACGCACCTGGCTTTTTCTCAGAACTTGTAGAGGGAACATCATGGAAACTTCTATCCTCATTATACTCCCAAGAAGGTTTTTCGGGAGCCTGAAGTTCATTCATTTAACTTTGTAATTAATTTTCTGGTTACTTCAATTATGTCTTCATCATCGCCATCACCGAATCTTTCGAAAAGATCATTTATGTAATCCTGCTTATATATACCAGTAGGTCTACACCCAGCAAAAGTTTGTATTGCGGCATCAATTGACCAATCCTTAAGAGAAGGAATCGAGAATGCTAATCATCATAAAGCCTCACCATAACTGTGACCATAAATGAGGATATCACAAAACCTGTTCGATTGAAGCCATGGGTACAATGGACGGCGACCAATTGCCCCGGGTTACTCTTGAAAATCAAAAATATGTACTGCACGCTCTTTATCTCCCTACATTTATGAATCCACGAACGAGACGTATAAACTGATCAACTTCATCAACAGTAGGGGATTGCTTATGTCCCGCCATTTTTATTTTTCGATATTGACATCCTTGATCAGTAACCTAATAAGGAAAGATTACAGTGTTATTCAGTTTGTTTTGCACCTGTTTTGTAAAATAGAATCGATCTGTATTTGTTAAATCCACCCAAAGCCCAATTTTTTTACCCTTAACGCTAGGATGCTTGAAAACATCTTCAGGATGAAAGCGGTATTGTTTATCGATTTGATCATCATATAGAGAACACAAAGGAACTTTGAAAGGTAAAAATATATCTGCTACGACCTAATATATGCAAATAAGTCATAGATAAGCTTTCACTCAATGATTACCTGTCCTATTTTAGGGCAATATAACCAACGATCAGGAATACCTCCGGCTTTTGCTCGTTCAGGATTTGGCCCGGACATAACCTAATTGTTACAGGAATTATTTAGAAAAAAACAGTACTTCGGAACAGTATCAACCGAGAGCAAGTGATAGTCGTTCCGATCCGGAATTGTATCCGTAAAACGGATACGGAACTATCAAAGAAAAGATGCCGGTTAGGCTGTTCAAGGAGGCAGAAATGGGTTGCGGAAGGGGGGTAGAGATAACTCACTGTTCTGCGTACTGCGTACTGCGTATCGCAAATTATTACACAATGCGTATAACACAGTACGCTAATGCTTAAGAAATTTGCATATAAATTAGGTTGTATATGGTAAACTGTTCATAGAACTCTGAAAATTCTTCCAAAATCTTCGGATGATAACGGAAATATGTAATATGGCTTTTATTTTGGAGCTGTCTAGCATGCTAGCGTTACAGGGAGAGATGTAAGGCTTTGCATGGATTAAATAAATACAAATCTGTTCTATGTTACAAGACAAGTGCAATACAAGCTGAATAAGAGAATAAACGTTCGTTTAGGTTTACTTGGTTACTCATCAACTGATTCATCAGACTCACTCGTTGAATTGCAATTTCGGGAAAAATGAAAAAACGAACAACTTGGAAGGATAATCTACGTCATTAATGTCTCATACTGTTTTGGTGTTTGTCTATCGTTCGTTTCTAGTTGTTTTCACACTGTGTTTATCAGAGATAAGCTCTCTCTGTTCATCATTATCGAGCAACAGATTGTTAGTAAGTGTATCAATGTTTGCAACCCTCGAGTGCCATGTTTCATATGAAAGCGACAGCAGAATTCCTATCAGGTGTGTCAAATTGACTACATGCATTCGGTATTGTGAAGTATTTTCATATTATAGATGTAACAAATATCGATACTTTTTGAGTTAAAAGAAAATTATAGAAGCTGGGCCACTGCTGCTTCCTGGTTCCAGGTGATTATGGAATTACATTGCTCAGCAATCTTGAGCTAGTAAATGAGAGAGCTTTATAAATATGTAAAGACGTAGTCATTATAATCTTATCTTTTCATAACATTTGTGCTTTCTGCGACAATTTCTTTTTTTATCAATAACACTCTGGTGTTGCTAAAGAAACAATAAATGGAACATTGCAACAGAATTGGGGTGTTATGCCCAGAGAATCAATATTGTTATAACAAATAATCAAAAGGTTCCACGCTTTGTCATGATCATATGTTTTTCTGCATGTTATCTTCTGAAACAAATCTGCATATTTCTCTTCTTCTTCAAACAATCTCAAATAATTCAAGTAGAAACTGTGAAACGGCGTTAATCCGTTTTCTCAGAACGTCTACTGCTCAACTGACGGTCTTCCGTGTTATTCTGCATTAATATTTGCCTACTACTACCTCACTTATTTGGATTTCCTTTGACAGACTTTCACTCAATGTCTATCTCTCATAAATCTCTTCTATATACTATTGTATTCCAATACTATTTCCGTTACTCACATAACTTCGGTTTATAATGGTATGCAAAGAAACACGAGATACCATTCACTATTCTTATCGTCCTTTCTAACCGAAAGCCAAAGATAGAAGAAGGGTTACCTGATAATACCAAGGCTCTTCTAGACCATTTAGGTTGAGCTATCCTACGAACCATTGTTGTTATTGACTTACTCTTCTATTTGACGACAGAAGGCAGTTAGGCACTCGTGCGAGCCGTTGTCGACACTGTGAGATTGACGTTCATTTCTCTCAACTGTATACCATATATGGCAGCTTTCAAACATCACTCTCTGTTTCTCTGTTAATTTTTTTATTATTTTTCGTAGTTATTTTTATGACTTGTTCTATTTTTATCGACTTTTCTTTCTATAATCTCCGCAGCAGAAAATAACTGCGAAAGCACTCGAAGATAAATCAGATATTATGCAAAAAAAATTTTTTTTTGAGAGGATACGTTATGAATTTATCTAGCTCTCGCACTCATTGCTCGTTTTCAGCCAAACTGAAGCTCTTCCTTTCAGTTATAACTGTTATTCTGCGAAATCGATCCATCTGTAAACCTTCCCTCTGGTTCAGCAGAGATATGCTGTCATCAACTACGGTTTTCCTGATGAACATGACCATCATGGTATATTGTAATTAATGAGAAAACATTATCCGAATATCGTTGAAGGTCTCGTCTATCACGGTTCTGTGCATATCAGCTTCAATTTTCGATTTTATTGTTATGAATAGGATGTATTACACTGTCCCTGATCAGGTACCACTTTTCATTTATTTACATTTTTTTTGAAATTTTTACGATAAACAACAATTCAGAATATTTTATTGGAGCCTGAGCAATCATACTGGTTCTATGGTGTCGCTGTATTCAGTCTCACGTTATCCATTCTCTGCTACTTCTATGAATCAACACCAAAATGGTTTAGGGAGAGAACAATTCAGTATCCTGAGATTTCTTCTTTAATGGTAATTGAAATGACAAAGAAAATCTGAAATTTGGAAAAACTTACTTTCAGCATTCAATCCTACTATCTATCTCATGTATAGGATCTGCCTATTGTGCATTCATTTCCGCACAAACATCTAATGATCTTTCCAAGTTTGCATATAACTCAACTCCACGACAGTTTCAGTTGGCTTCCTATTGGTACTTCATCAGATTTCGCGTTTGCTCCGTAAGCTATCTATGATTATAATCATATAATCTTTGATATTTCAGCTGCTTTTCGGGTTGAACTGTGTACTTTCATTGTCTGTCCTATGCATTCTATATTTGGGAATCCAGTGCCGATACCGCTCGTTTGCCCAATTACCTCAAACATCGAAAAAAGAAGTCATAATGAGAACAACATTATTCGCATAATCAGCATAAGTCAAAGGTTATAACAATCATAATAAGTATATGAAATAAATATTATAAATGTTTCGAAATGTTGCGTAACGATGTTCAAAAAATTCCTTTCATCTATAACTCTTGAAGAGTTTATAGAGACCTCAAACTGGATGGGTGAAACAGGGACAGAAAAACCTTTTTCTCTTATGCCCTTTTTCATCTCACAGCTTTTTATATGAAATGCTCTCGTCTTCTACAGATTCTTCTTCTTTTTTATATTATCTCTTTGACTCAATTGATTCACTTGCTCCATCTCTAACTGATTCTGTCTGTTCGTTTTACCTCTCTCATCATTCTCCATATCTGTGGAATTTCATCTTTCTTTCTCTAGCTCTTCAGTTGTCTTTCATCTACTCCAAGTGGACGCCGTGTGCTTTGTAGTTGCAGCTCGTTCGAGCTTTTGAGCTTCAAGAACCAGCTGGACCCTCGGACGTTTTTTGCCCGAACAGTCAAAACGAACAACAACCGGAAACGCATCTTGTTTCGGTTCTGCGCAGTTGTTCTTCTTCTACTTTTCTGTAGCTCTTTTCATGCTTTGCCGCAACAACAAACAAAACATTCTGACGTAGAAAGCACCTCGCCCGCCTTCTTCCTAAACTTCGATCATATATAAAAGCCAGGGTGTGAAGACAAGTCATCAGGACATCTACCTGTCTGCCATTCGGAAGCAAAACATGAGCTCTACTACTGCTGTGTATGTTTCAACTTTTATCTCTTTCATCATTTTGTTTCTTTAGAATTCTTTTCGCACTTTGCGCTTTCTCTTCTGCTCAAATTGCCGTGAACGGACCTTTCTATGGAAGATACTATGCTCAAGCTAAGCCCGTGCTTACTCCAGGATTCGCACCTCTAGGAGCCCCCGTTGTTGCCGCCGCACCAGCCCCACTTCTAGCTCCAGCTCCAGTCTTTGCTGCTCCTGTACCCCCAGTTGCTCCAATGGTTGCTGCTGCTCCTGCTATTCCTGTCCCACGTCCCGTTCTTGCCGCTCCAGCTCCAGTAGTTGCTGCTATGCCTGCTCCAATCTTGGCCGCTCCAGCTGTTCCAGTACCACGACCTGTCTTTGCCCCAGCCCCAGTAGCTCCAGTACTTGCTGCCCCAGCTGTACCAGTAGCTCGTCCCATCCTTGCTGCTCCAGCCGTCCCAGTAGCTCGTCCAGTTTTCGCTGCTCCAGCTATCCCAGTAGCTCGTCCAGTTCTTGCTGCTCCAGCTCCTATCTTTAGCGCTGCCCCAGCTATCATTTCTCCAGCTGTTCCAGTTGCTCGTCCAGTATTCGCTCCAGCTCCAGTACTTGCTCCAGCTCCAGTACTTGCCCATGCCCCAGTAGTCCCAGCTTATGCTCCATTCGCAAGAGCTGCCTTTTTCATCGGCAGCAATAAGGCTAAAAGCCAATAGATGATGATAACGATTAATTGTCTGTACATACCGAGAACACGAATAAATAAATATTGACTTACTTTAAACGTATCTTGTTTTCAATCGTTCAATGCATGCTCATCAGTTACAATACGACAGACTGTTATAGAGTTGTTAGATATTTGCATACCATCAGGCATGCAAATGAGTATACAAATGACTTTACAAACTAAATTATTATAATGATTACAAAGAAAGGGAAATAAATGAAGAAAGTACTATGATGCGGGAAGAATGAGATTCGGAAAATCAGAGAGACTTACTCGTTTCATTCAAAAATCCTTCTGAAAATTAATATTATTTTTAGAAGCCATCAGAGTACAAAATGAGTGAAAATGCAAACTTTATTAAGAAAACAATTATCCATCCGTTGTTCTGAAAATTCAAAGAAACCAAATTCATATATGAACTGCAAATAAGATTTGATTAGCAGACTCATAAATGAATTCTTTTTTTCTTTTTTTCTTTGTAAATTCCTTTCTTTTCTTCTTACACGCTCAAGTTATTTCATCTTTGGTGTGAAAAGTTTCAAAAAGAGCTGAAAGAATATGGCGATGTTTGTTTATTCCTGGAATATCCGGTACCGTTTCCTATTCAAATAGAATGTTTCTGTTCTGGTCATTTCATTTGTGAGTAGAACAGTGTGGTTACGTTTTCTTATATTCTATAGAGAACATTATATAAGAGCTCATAATTTATTGCTATTAACTTGAACATAATATACAGACATGGATGGTTATAACAACTAATCAGCTGACAACTTAGTTGCTCTTCTTGGCTTTGTTTGATCCGATGAAGAAGGCGCTTCTTGCAAATGGAGCATAAGCTGGAACAACTGATGGAGCAGCGAGAACTGGAGCTGGAGCAGCGAATACTGGAGCTGGGGCAAGTGGAGCTGGAGCAGCGAAGACTGGAGCTGGGGCAACTGGAGCTGGAGCAGCGAAGACTGGGGCTGGGGCAGCAAGAACTGGGGCTGGGGCAGCAAGAACTGGGGCTGGGGCAGCAAGAACTGGACGTGGAATAGCTGGAGCATACATTGGAGCTGGGGCAGCGAGAACTGGGGCTGGAGCAGCGAAAACTGGACGAGCAACTGGAACAGCTGGAGCGGCGAAAACTGGAGCTGGGGCAGCAGCAACATATGGGGCAACTGGAGGTACTGGAGCTGGGGCAGCGAAGACTGGGGCTGGGGCAGCAGCAAGGACAGGAGCTCCTAATGGTGCATATCCAGGGGTGAGAACAGGCTTAGCTTGAGCGTAGTATCTTCCATAGAAAGGTCCGTTCACGGCGATTTGAGCAGATGAAGCTGCGGTCAAGGCAAGAAGGAAGCTTAAAAAACAAGATGAGACTAGTCAAATTTTCTGAAAACTTACAGTCCAGTAGAAATCATTGTTGAATGTAAAGAAGAGGAAACTGAAATGCGATGATCAGGAAGTGCGAGGAGCCGCTATATAAAGGCTTGTTGTCCAACCGGTTTTAAGGTAACACCTTCTTACGTAATTCTTCATGAGTTGCTGCTAGCTCCTCCTCCAACGTAAAAATCGGACGTTAAGCATTAGAAACGCATCACAGATCAACAAACAAAAAATGAGATGGCAGTTCTGCAGATAGAGAGACGATAGGAGAAAAAGGAGTTGGACGAGCTAGCCGGGAAGAATACAATTGCTCGGCGATTTAAAATTTTTTTGCTTCCGAGTTTAAAACGTAAAAACCTGTCGCACGGTCAGCAGTCCAGTTTGAACAATTTGGTAAAGTATCCGAGAACTTACTCATAGAAGTTTGAATACAGACTGTTTGGAACAAGATGCTCTTCCTCTCTCTCACTCTCTCTGTTTCGCTTAAAATCCAAACCCCAAATTGTTTTCAATCCTTCATCACCCAAACTAAGTTTGGTAAGAATCTATTTGTATTATACATACAATGTATATCATCAATAAGTAAAATCAAAGTAACATTCTTCCAATCTATTTTCTTTGAAATGCATGCTTCCGAGAATTTTTTGCAGCTAGAGGTCGAGTGAACGCAATAAAAACAATCGGCACAGGTGAGATTCTTATGATCAGCTGGGTTTTTCAAGTTTTTTGCATTTTTTCTGCGCATTCCTCAACAAGCTCACTGCGCTTCTCGATATAGAATGACTATAAGAGGACCTGAAATTTTCTTTAAAAAAAGGAGGCAAAATGCCGCAGAAATTTGATAGAAATCAGCTTTTTTTTTATAAATGGATGAGAAGTCTAGAACAAGGATTTGAAAAGTTTCTCAACTAATTAATTATTTCCACTTTTATATTATTTTATGTTCGAGAATGGGATCTCGTTTTCTCATTAAAACTCAGATGTAGATGAATCTTACATCGGACATGTTATGGGTGGATACTTGTTTTCTTCCGGTATCAAATGTTTCTTTGTATGCTCATGTATGTTTCAATTCCGTTTTTCCGGTTGTTCAACTCATCCGGTCATTTTGTGTCTTTTGTATTACATAGTATTTGCTTTTTCTATTCACAACATCTGGCCAGGAAGCTGAAATTTTTAGAAAAGTTAAGAGTGTAAATAATCTATAAACATATAGTTAACTTGCTTTATAATTCAAACAGATACTATATAAAGCTTAAAAAAAATGAATAAAAACTGCTCGTAGATGGAGCTGGGATTGGATGAACTTCTTCTGACATTCTGTGTTCATATTACTACTGACATACTCATTACGGGCCTAACTATACAAACTATACACTGTTTCACGTATCATCGCCAAAACGTTTCAACCCAGTCAATCGTTTTTTTTCTTCTCATCATCTTCTCAGCTCGGTTGTCTATGCTTATGAATTTCTGGTTTTGAAAAAGGTTTCTCATTTATCTGTTGAATCCAGATTCCACATGCACACGTAGTTTAATAGTTTGAAGAACATGTTGAACGATGATCTTTATATTTACTCATTGCAATATTTGAGGAAATAATGAGAAGAGAAAAAAACGCGAAATCTTCTTTGCGAATGTAACTGATGCCGAATAGCTATCGTTGAGAGAAGAGCTGCTCTCAGATATTAGAAACGGATCTGGAATTCTCGTCCTTGTCCTGACGTCCTCCGATCTGTTTGTTGTTTCAATTTTTCTCGAGAAAGACAAATGCTTAACAATGCCGTCGGCATTATCCAACACGTTCTTTCACGTGTGCAAAGAAAAGGAAGAAAGATGATATGATAATCATACAAGACTTTGGTCGTTGTCAAGCAATACGTTAATCCGTAAAACCGGAGAAAAAGCATAATTACTATCAGATCTGGTTCAGCCGAGAGTGAACAGAAAAAATGAAGACTCAATGTATGTTTTTGCATCATCACATTACCGAATGATCTGTTTATTTATTTACTTCATACGAACAACAAGGCTAATGAACGTTTCAAACTCATTTACAAGGACGTTCGGTAGGCAAATATAGAGTACGAACGTCATCACATGAGTCATACCTGAAACATGCTCATACCGTAAATGAACAAGATGAGATTCTATCCTGTTCTGGTCTAATTTGAAAAGGCGGAAATCACGTCAATCCAAGCTTCTCATATTCAATTGGCTGACTCACTTAACAAAGAAAATAATGAATACAACCGTTGTATTCATGGAATGTTGTGTTCAGAATTTTGTATTGTATTCTATTTAGCCGAGCTACCGTCTGTGTGCTGCCGACGTTGTTGTATTTGCGCCGTCCGGTCGTCAATCGCCTCAGGCGACACTTGGTGTAAAAAGCTCGCGCGCCCGCCTACTTTCCTCCTTTTCTGCACCTAAAACTATCTGGGGCGTGGTCTTAATCGTTCCTATATAAGTTAAGAACAATTTTTGATCTATACAGTGCTCAGCACATCATCTCATCTTCTTCAAATCATCATGCAAACCATGTAAGCTTAGATTTGTTTCTTAACTTTGTACTCTTATTTTTTTTAGCACCGTTCTCTCTTGCGTCTTCGCCCTTGCATCTGCTCAACTCGCCGCCTGGCCAGCAAGCAGCTACTCTCCTTACTATCAGGCACTCTTCAGTGCCGCTCAGAACCCAGTACTTAGCGCACCAATTGTTACCTCTGCTGGAACCGTAGGAGCTGCCCCAATCGCCGCATCACCATTCGTTGCCGCTGCCCCAGCCCCATACATGGCTGCTGCACCAGCTCCATACATGGCCGCCGCTCCAGCTCCATACGTCGCCGCCGCACCAGCCCCAATTGTTGCTGCTGCTGCCCCACTCCGTGGACCAGCTTTCGCTTATGCTCCATCTCCAGTCTTAGCCCAAGTCCGCCCACCAGTTATTGCTGCTGCTCCAGTCATGGCTGCTGCTCCAGTTCTCGCTGCCCCAGCCCCAATTCTTGCTGCCCCAAGAGTTGTTCCAGCTTACTCTCCATTCGCCAGATCCGCCGTCTTCATCGGATCCAACAAAGCCAAGTAAGATTACACACTTGAATAGTTTAACCAATTACATTTTCCAGGACTGCTTAAATGAACGGTATGGTTTCAATCTTGCCAAGCATTGAATCTTTCTGTATATTCGAACATCTTTCAAATAGTGTTTACACTATAAATTTCTGTAAATAAATATATTTACATTAAAAACCGTTCTCTTTAATAGCACAACAATATAGCTCATGAAGTACCAAAACGACAACCATACTAGTCTTGCTCACAACCGCTCAGTGCGCTGACATACATATGCGAATGATCAAGGCTGCGGGCACGGAAGCGTTTCCGTGAAAAACTAATTAGAATATTTGAACAAACAAAAATGAAATCAGAAGTAAACGTGACATTATTTGATTGTTTTTTGTATGAGGGGTAATGAAGAGAGTACCATCATAATCGCTTTAAGTACGTCGAAATATTAGACAAAGGCAAATACACTTGGGCAATATCCAATTTTGTGAATTTGGTCCTATAAATGTGAAACATACATTCATAATCGTTATATATTTTACTCATTTTCTTAATATATGTATATCTCTATTTTTCAGACTGTAACTTCTTATGTACTTGATGAATTGAGAAGAGCATCAATCATTATTTTCTTTTTCTCATTACTTCAGCTTATGTCTAGGTCACCATTAGGTAGACCTATTCAAGTTGGAGTTTTTGAGCATGATCCGGATGCATTTAACTGCTTCCGTAATGTTCCTAAGGGTCAATGTGCTAAACCTGGAGCTGAAATTGATATAATCACAATGGTGATGGATATCTTAGATTGGGAATGGGAAATTGTAATGAACTTACATTACTTCTAACGCCTCTAACACATTCCTCTTCTAGGTTGATACAGAATCTGCTTATGGCGTTGTTAATGACTTCGGAAATGTACAAGAAGATGGGAACTTTAGGTGAGATCTAGCGCTTCATATATTCAATGAACATTCTCCAGTGGTATTATGGGTCTATTACATACTAATAAGATTGATATGAGTGGATTATCAATGAGAGTAACACCGGAACGCATGAAAGCTGCTCATTTTACTTTTCCCATCAGATACTTCCAAGTACGTAGACTTTTCGATACTATTTCAATTTCATTCTTTTCAGCAAGTTTATATCATAACGAAACCTCCTGAAAACGATTTCCGTAATTTCATTTTTTCTCCTTTTTCAACAGAATTTTGGTTTTTACTTGTAGCAGCCATTGGTAATCTACATCGCTACTTGATATCTCTACTGTCTGTATATGAGTTTTCAGTTGCTGTAGGCATTACGAGAGTATTATGTGGTATGATTATGCAAAGAATTGTTCGTCGACGAGTTCAGTATATAGGAGACTGTTTTTTCGTAAGAAAATCACATGGTTAAGAGAGTGATGATATGAATTGCAGGAGCTATTTGCTATTATCTTCAAACAACGTGTGCGTGAATCCAGAGCTTTATGCTTAATGGTTGAACATCATCCAGTTTTAACATTCTTAAACACTCATCTACATTCAGATTTTACAAATAATTTTTGTAACATCCATATTAATAGTACGAGGTCATTTTCAATCAATAATGAATTCAAAGCTTTCTGCTCCTCCAACAAGTGCCATCCCCTTTTATACGCAATCACAGCTATTAGGTAGATAGATAGATATCTCATTTTGAACCTTGCGATCAATTTTCATTTTCAATTAAACCGTTTCAGATTTATTTGAGAAAAAAGCTCGTTATCCAACGTATTATGTTGATATCCAACTGGAAGGTTCAAATGAGAAGAATCAGGAAAGGATCAACAAAATTTCTGAATATAATCCAATAGTTGTTCATCCGAAAGAAGATGATTTAATTGCAGAAATAAAGTTTCTCTTATTATCAATATGATATTCAAATATTCATATTTTGAGGAAAGGAGGAGTATTCTATTCAACGTATGATATCGAATTCTTGACAACCGCTGTTAGTATATGGGATGAGAAGGAGCAACTCACGGTTATCAGGTTATTCATTCAACATCACAGTAACTTATGCTTCGTTAAATGATTTTAAGAGATCCAACGGGTATTTTAAGTTATGTTGCTTTCGGATTTTCAAAGAACAATCGAAAACTCTGCTCACAGTAACTGCTTTGATGATTCGTGCGTGAAATGAAATTGTTCTTTTGAGGTTCAATGCTGCGTTGATGCTTGTTCTACCAGGTGTTCCACGAATCACCCTAGGACCTGGATACGCTAATAAGAAGCCTCCCTTAGATACTACCATTCAGGTGATTTGTAACCCAACTTCTAATAAGGTATTTTCCAATTGTAGGCTAAGAAGACTTCATTAAGCCTTAGGCGGCATTTGGAACAGTTATTCTTAATGTATTTGATCTCACATTCATTCTGCTTGTTAGTCTTCTCGCTAGGTTAGCTATAGCTCGACTAAGCTTATCACCTCATAAATAACGTTTTTCAGAGATAATTATAAAGAAAATATATGTTTTTGCCCAGTCGCGTGCCTACAGTTTGAATAGAGAAATGGATAATCAATCCAGTGTTATAGACCTTGAACTGTTCAAAACAGAGTAAAAGTGTTCTTTTAATTTTTATAAAATGTTTGTATCTTGTTGTCATTCACATTTTTCAACATTTCCAGATTATATGTAATAGGAATTTCATTTTTTATTCTGTTTTCTATTGTCTTTGATCCAAATGAATGGTCGTTGAGACAGTCACAATCCATGCGGCCGATTATATTTTGTGAAACAAAAAGATGATGAAGATGAAGATGTCATGTACGAAAGACAAAATTAAGTTTTCAAAGATATGTGTTGAATGTTGGATATTGCGCAAGATGCTACTCTCTCCTCTCTATTCTATCATGTTCATATGCTTTTCTGGTAAACCAAAATCTTTTTTTTTTTGAATTATGCAGAGAAGAGATAATAGCATATGGTAGACGACGATCTACCTGTTCATATCGTTTTTCTCTTCAATAGCATGTATCATTTGAAGCTAATTCGATCAAATCTCTCTAATTTATAATGGGAAGATGTCAACTGTCATTTCATTTTGAGACAAAAGCTTGTCAAAAGCTTGAAAAGCAAATGTTCTCATTTTCATGTCATTCCATTACCTTGATTGTTCATTCATTCCATTCTTATCCATATCATTGCAATGCCATATTTCAGATATGTTACGATATACTATTATATTACTTCTACTGCCGACAGTGCATAACTTCATGTTCAATGTGAGTTCAAGTTTCATTTGCATATTTTGACGTACGTGAAAGTCACGTAAAGAGTTTCATTTTGAAACTTTTGTTATGCATGAGCGGTTGTCTTCCTTTGTTGTTGATATTCTACTTTTTCGTTTTCAGTTAGCCAGTATCTTCTATCCACAGTATGCTCAACAACCAGCAGTACAGGTTCATTCTTATTAGCTTGTAATTCTTCGAAAATGAACAAGATGCTTAAGCAATGAAAAAAAAAAGATTAATTTCTCAGCTTTCGCGCAGTTCTCGTTTTCAACTTCTGATTGGAATTTCGCTTTTCTCATATCTTTCCGATTCAATTAACATGATATGACATGGAAGAAACTTTTAAAGACGCTCATATTTTTATTTATAGCCTCAGCCACAATATCAGCAGCCAGCCTATCCTCAACCTCCGCCAGCTGCGTATGTGACAAGTCCAGTAGTTCAAGCTCCGCAACAAGTTGATTTTTCCACACACTGAATCAAAACGTGACTATTTAAGGTTTTTGCTCCTCCACAGCAATCTTATGCTAATCCATTGACTCAATACGTTCGACCTCCCGTTCAGTACGTACAACCCCCAACACAGTATGCACAACCGCCACAATATGTTAAACCACCTCAATACGTCAAACCTCCTCAGTACGTCAAGCCACCCCAATACGTCAAGCCTCCACAATACGTTCGACCCACTCCTCCTCCAGATCCATGTTTCACGAACGAACATGGTAATTCCTTATAATGTATAAGCAATAGTGTAAACTCATATTTCTCTTAGGTTTCCGATGCTGCAACAGGAAATTGCTCGATTTAATGAACGAAGTAGCTAATCAACCTGAGCGCCAGCGACATTTCGAAGCTTGTAACCAACAGAAAGTTGCTAATGAGATGGCGGTAAACTATTTCCTCTAAACTCTATCCACTTTCTCTACGTTTCAGCTCGCGGCTCAAAGACGTTTCAATACTTCCTTTGAAACCATTGTGTCACGCTCCGAAATAGTCAACAAAGGTAGATACCGTGGTGATTTGATGTGTAAAACACTAGCTCCAAATGGCAAAGTACGATTTTTCATCAGAAAATGCACCTATTTATGTATCTTCAGCATATACTCGTCTACGCGACTCCTGTCCCATATACCACAGAAGAGGGACCATCTCGTCCATTAACTGAAGAAGAAATAGCTGCATCTTCATTCCTAGATGCTTATAAAAACGTTCAAGACTTGCCGACGACTAGATTATTTAATCGTTTATTAGGTTAATTAATATTTATGCAATTCTTTATTTTTTCTGTATATTTTTGAAACCGCTTGGATCACATTTGATCTCAGGTCATCTGAATGCGAATAAACGACTCCATAAGCTTGTGATTACCAAAACTGCTTCACAATGATAAGCATTGAGACCATTAAAACAGAGAAACAGGATGGACTTATGAAGAATGATTTCGAACTAAAAACAAATTGAAATGTGAAATTCACTTTGGTCTTCGGAAACATGTCCTTAGTCGGATTATTGCATCCCGCACACATAAATGAATAAAAGCTAATTGCTTGCAACAGCTTCAATATATTGGGCATGACATAAGATCAAAGCCTTTCAGTCATCACTATTAATTTCCGAAAAATCTTAATTGGTGATTGGATATAAGCGTAGTATCCCATATGCGATGGAAGCAGGTGTTCTTGGAGGAATCTCATGATGAAGGTATTCTGACACTCCCCATCACTAGTCTTTTCTATATTTAACCCATGCTGGTCCTAATCGTTTATTTTGAAGGATTTAATCCAACATGAAACAAATACAGTCAATAACCATCTTAGCTAATGCCATAACGATATGACTCATCTTCAAAACAATAACAGAGCAACTACGAGTTAGTAAACGTCCTACATGGCTCATACGAATGGTTTGTTCAGACGAACCATCAATGAAACAATCAAACTCAACATAAACAGTGCAAGGCTTCTTATAAAAACCTTATTAAAACTCAAGCTTATTCCTCAAATAAGGCTCGATGACGTGTTCTTTGAACTCTTCATTCGTTATTTGCAGATGATCACCCTCGATTTCAAGGAATTTGACTTTGCCACTTTCAACCAACTTCTTCAGACCAATCATATCCTGAAATCATATTCAAACTATCTATGAGCCCCATACAATCACAAACATCTTTGTACAGCTTTGTTTCATTCAAAGGTTGAATATCTTTAGTACCAGGAGCGAAGTATTGGAACCACTGAATCAATTATGGAAAGTTTACTTGAACAGATTAACTTACAGATGACTCTTTGGGTATGATCATCTTGTCTTTGGTGAACTTAATCAGAAGCATATTCTTGAGCTTCAGAAGGTTCTTTCTGTACATCTTCTTCTTAATGTCATCTTTGTAAATTCCTTTGAAATAGTTCTTAAAGTACTCGAAAAGTTAAAAGGATCATGATCTCTCTTCACTTTCTCATTGTTGATATCGGCAAGGAACAAACTCTTGTTTACGTACAATTCCTCATTGTAAGGATCGTGCCAGTATTGAGCTTGAACAGATCTGGCAACACCATATGTTCCCAATTTCGTTTTTCAATCTCTCCTACCTTTTTTGAACAAAAGTTGTATAAGCTCCATAGTCGAGCAACTTGCTCATCATCATACACAACATGACATCCGAGCTGCAATAAGGGACTCCGAATATCCCTTGATGCTGCCCACCAACTTGAAAAAGATAATTTTTTTAGTGAAACGCTCATGTAGGTTCTGATACCAGAGACAAAGTTCAACATTGGTGGTTCTGGACATCTCTGAGCCACAGCGCGTCTTCAAAGAAAAAAGTGATTGAACTGATCAGTAATCTTTGAACTTACAGGAACTGAGCACCCTGTGAAAAACCAATAGCATTGTAACCATCCTGAAGATATGGATCAGCAGCGATTTGATCGCAAGCTGACTTGACCAGATTATTAACATCAGAGAAAAATCCATATTCGGTATCCTATGTAAATGAGAAAACCCAAATATGACAATATATAAACAAAAATCAAAATACAGTGAAAACGTTTCCTCCGAACATCAAGCTCTTCACATAGACCCCATCAACTTCAGCTTCAATCATTTTCTTGATGCGCCCCATGGAAAGGGGATTACAGCAGCTATCACCTACATGGAAATGTTTTGTTTATAGATCTATATGAGAACGAGGAGAAAAGTGATTAAAAACAAACCCATTCCATGCCAAATTACGACTGGAGCCGGAGGATCCTCAGCATAACCGATAGTACAAATAGCAACAGCATGTAGTAAAAAGAAAATCTTTTTCATTTTTAGTCTTCAAACAAATAAAATAAAGATTTTTAGTAGGCAAAAAATATTTTTTTTTATCCTGAGAAGATGTGTTGTAAAGAAATCGATAATAATTTAAAATAGAAAGTCCAACTGAGAGTACAAAGAGCACTGAGCAGGAGGACACAAAAAAAATGAGAAAAAGAGAAACAAACTTGAGCCTCAGGAAAATAAAAAGAAGAAGAAGATGATCATGTTGATGATGATAGTGAAGGAGAGAAGAAAAAAAAACGCGAACACACATTATGTATTATGAAGATCTTTATTAAGAGGCAAAAGTCGTAAGTGAACACGTAGCCATCGATAGTTAGCATATAATATTAAATTACAATCTTATATGTATAGCTTAGTTGAGAAAAATGAAAAAAAAACAATAATTTAGTATTATGATATGAATCACTACTTAGAGTGTCTTGAATTGATCACTCAAAAAATCTCCGTTGATCTCTTTTTCAATTGTCCATGGGTCGGCTGCAACTGCAGTGAAATGTTCCTCGGTGGAAAAGCAATTTTGAACCTGAACATTGTAAAAATTAGAATGAGGCGATGAGTGAATGATATATGGGTGCTAGCTGAGTGTAAAGTATAAACAGTTATTTACCTCCTTGTTTGGTCCGTGGCAGACAATCTTAAGTCCAGGTCTCTTGGATACGCAGGTTCTTACACGACTTCTTTCTCCATTGACACATCCAGTCCAGGCGGTCCATGGAGTGTATTCACCAAAAACAACTCCTAAAACGGATATATTTACATAAAAATGAATTAGTCTGTTTCTTTATTTGAATGAGCTTTTGAATTAGCAAACGTGTATGTCACGTGAAACGTTCCACGTGATTCACATTATACGTCCTTAACTCATATGAGTATGTCATTTTTTATAATTTCATTTTTGAGCAGTGCAGTCAGATAGGATCGGTTGTTCTTTTCTTTTCCTTTTGGCTTTCTCGTTCAGAATAACTTTCATTCTCTTCTTTCATAACTATAATTATATGGCTCTTATATTCACCTGACATCTCTCCATGATTTTATATTATAATGAAGAAGAGAAGCTTCAAGATATGTGCATTTCCGATTAGCCTGAGGAAGCATTGATTTCCATATTTGGTAATTAACAATTCCGCTTTATACAAGCTTTACATTTCAATAAAAGATTGTTCAAAGCATCATTTCTCAATCAGGCATTGTGCTTATCCAACCTCTATCCCATATTTCTATTTCTGACCCATACTTCTAATGAAGAGAATGCAGGAGCAGCAAAAAGGGTTTTGTTCTGCGTTCATCGTCTTTACATATTCTCTCATTTGGCTAATTAAGCATTTCTCTTGTCCACACACACACACACACACACATATGCTCAAAAAAATGTTTTAAAGTCTTGTAAACGTTCAAGGAAACGATTGACAAAATGGAAAACATGAATGGACACATCCTATTGCTCAATTAGATGTTTGAAATCAGTTGAAAGATAGATAATGACGAATTTAGAGAGAATGGTAAAAATGAAAGCAATTGCCTTTGACAAAACAAACGTCGCATCATGATTGGATATTGGATGATCCATAGTTTCAATAAAAATGTATTTGAAACATACATTGAATGACCGGCTGTTCCAAAAGAAAACAGACATCTTACATAAGCGAGAGGTTGAGAATGAGAGAGGCTCAAAGAGATGATTAAGATGAGAGAGAGTAGGATAGATGAATAAAGAAGAGTAAAGAGAGAGAGTAAAAGAGAAAATGAGGGACAAACGGGCTCTCTTGTTTTATAATTGGACCAACAGACATGGCACAAAACTGCAAAAGGAGGCAGAGATTGAAGGAAAAAGCTGTATCCTATCTTCATCATCAACCCCTTCTATATGCTTAAATGTTCTTTCTATGTATATTCTACCAGTAAGAGAGAATAGGAGGAGCTTTAAGTTCAAAATAAAGAGAAGGAGGGGTGGAGAAAAGGAGGACGATATAGAATGTACGAGAGGAAGAGAGAGAGTAAAAGAGTATAACAATAAAATAATGGAAGAGCACGGAATGTACTATGTTTCCATAGCCTTTTCCGGTTGAGTTGTAGCTGACCATATGATCTTAATGCTCTATTTTAAAGCTTCAAACTTTCTAAACCTCTTTTTCGCTTGTAATTTATCTACTCATTCGTCTAAAATTTCTCAATTGTAGTTAATATCTGAGCATTCGTTCCTTTAAACATTGGAGCTTATTCTAAAGCTTTTCCTCCCCCCCCATATCCTCTCAGTCTCACTCTCGTTATCCACCAATTTCTTATTCAAAAACTAAAAAAGTTCAGTTTTTGGCTAACTTTATGTGATACTACTCGTTATATGATTAGCATTTCTATTAATTATATGAATATACTTACTTTCTTGAACTTGTTCAGGCTTGGAGGCGTGAAGTAGTACTTCTCCGTCCTTAGCTGGAGCATCACTTCCAACTTGTCCCTCAGATACTTTAACTCCTTGAGCTTGAGCTTTCTGTTTCAACAAAGCAATCTGATCAGCTGTAAGTTTATTATAATTCATTTTTTTCTTGTTGTTGTTAACAAATACCTCTGGCAACAGATGCAGTTTGAAGTGGGTGGAATGTCTCAATTAGGTCAAAACGAGTTCTATCATAGGGTCCCAAATGTAATGACTAAACAGAACAATATCTTTATATTATCATTATATTCGTCATTTCTGTTATACTTTGAGTGTCTTTCTCATAAATTAACGAACCTTAGAAGCATCTGTGTCGATTGTGACGAGAATGGGCGAGTCGTGGACTTTTGTGTCTAATGGAGCTGAAAATTTTCAAAATTAAATCATTATTCTATATAACCAGATGTGAATCTGATTGAAGGCTACGGCTTGTTTTGGAACTCCGCAAAAAAAAGTCTTCAATGGTCTTTCGTTTTTGATGATTCAAGCTTGAGCTGCTCTTTTGAAAGAGAAGTGTGGGTGGAGGTGAAGTAAAAAAAAAGTTTTTTTAAAAATTTACCGGCGTAAGCTGAAGCTAAAAGAAGGAAAAGTGTTGATAAGTAGAGCATTGTGGTATAGATCCTAAAGTTTAAATGAATATGAATAGTTACAGACGAGGCCAAAGGATACGAAAACGAAGGTCACAAACGAAAGAAACAGATGAGAAATCGAGTCAAAACAGATATTTGAGATCCCGGATTACAGATAATAGATAGTCCGTTTGACATCAAAGAAGAAAAGGTAAGAATATCTCCTTTTTATTAAATAGATGACAGAATAATATGTTTATATGGTTACCAAACATTCTTGATTTCTAAAAAAAGATCAGATGTATTGTAGTTGTTGAGGTACAATGAATACAAATGCGCTTCAACTACAACGCACTTTGAGAGAGAGAGAGAGAGGGAGAATGTGTTGTGTTGAATGTTTTGGAACTCAAAAGGAAGGTGGCTCATGATGTACAGGCAACCTTCTGGGGTGAAGCAGAAAAAGCCGAGTGAGATGAGATCAAGCTGACTGAACAACAGTACGATCAGATTATCATGGGCGGAGCAAATGAAATCCCAGGAATGCGGGCAGGAACAGGTCGTTGGCCCCCCTGGCACTTTGATGGCTAGTTTTAGCTCGTTCGAGAATCACAAAAAGATTGAAAGAAAAGACTTTGTGGAAGAGAGCATAGAGCTAAGAAAAACTATAAAGATTGGCAAGTATTAAGTGTAGATTAAGAAGTATAGTAACAGAGAGAGAGAGAGAGAGAGAGAGAGAGAGAGATACAGAGAGAGAGATCGAATACAAATAATCAGTTTGAATAACATGTCCTTTTATAGATTATCTTTCTTTTTCTTTCGACCTACATCTCTTTCGTACTAGTTATGATTATGGTTATCATATAAATCATGAATGTTGTTAGATAAATCTTAATGCGAACGTCATTTACTTAAATGAACTTGAATCGAATAGCTTCTCTAGCTTCTCCTTAGAAATTCTGATTCAATGTTTCTCTGTCTAATGATGGAATGATCAGATTTTTGTTAACAAAAGCACATCCATCATTAGATGTTCCGTCTGAGAGTTCATGTCGTCATTTCAGCTTCTTCATCTGATTAAATCTGCTTCTTGATTCTCAGGTCTGCTTCTTAGCCATTTCATGAAGTAAGAGAGAGTGGGTGGAGAGTGAGAGAGGAGCGAGATAAAGAACAAGAAAAGGAGAGGTCATAAATGGATTTCTTTTCATGATGAATTGGACTGAAAATCGCAGGTGAATGACTTCTTTCCGTTTTTCAAGATTTCGTGATGGAAGAACAAGAAGAAGAAGAAGCTGGAAAGCTTTAACCCGAAGTGAAAACAATGAGTCATAAAAAGATATGAGATTTACTCAAAATCACGAAAGATATCTGATTGTCCTTGTTAAGGTCGGCTGTCTGGAGAGATTGTCTTGAAGAGAGAGAGAGGTAGAGAGATAGAGTAGTTCATAGAGAGAAGGATTATTTTGTAATTTTCCATTTGAGACTATAAGGCATGTTTTAGATACAGGAAAAGATGCTTTCTCAGCAAACTTTTCCGGAATGGTTTATTCATGAGCATTCAAGTATTTATTTGATACAGTTCACAAACTTCATTTCTCTTTCATCTTTCATTCTGACAACAGAAGACGAAGATAAAAAAAAAGACAAAAAGAGAAAAGAAAAATTTCGTTTTCATCTCTTCTTGTCTCTCTTTTTTCTCTCTTGAAAATGAATTTGAAAGAAATGATGTGAGGATGTGTAATGCTTGAATTTACATATATCTCATACAATCCTTTACCTTTTGTGACCGAACATCATCTTTTGACATCTAATTGGACTGGATTTGCAGGGCAGGGTGATGATGGGGTTGCAACGATTCGAATTGTTGCATCTTCACAGCTTTAGATAAATCTTAGAATTCGAGCAATTCCATACATGGAATGTCTTCCACTAACATTTCCGGTTCATTGAAATTATTTAAATTTTATTCAAACACAACGTCAACGAAACTTACACATACATAGATAAAAAGTTTTTTAAAGCATATTTGAATATTCACGTAAAATATTTCCACGTGAGCATCCCACGTACAAACTCAATTCATTTCCTCTGTCCGCTGATGTATAGAACGGTCGTTTGGGGTTGTTTTTCGTACAAGAAGCTTTCTTTCCAAAATTATTTGAAACTTTAATTTTTGTCTATAAATAGAGTATTGTGAATATTTAATTCTTTAAATATATAATGAGAACAGGCTTACATTCATTGCCTGGGGCAACGATACCATGATGAGCAGGTAGACAGAGTGAACAATCACTCCCAGCATATACATGGGCTTCCCCCCACCCGTTGACTTCCTGCTTCTAATTATTGTTTATTTCAATTTTCCTTCTTTTTTTTCCTTCCTTAACATTGTGGTCGTTTCACATTTCTGCTGTGTACTCCAGATAACCTTTGTAGATGGAGAGGAAGTGAGGGAATGCCCTACAAATCAGTTTGTTTCCGTTAAAAAAGAAAAAAAAAAGATTTTTTTGTTCGACGAGTATGCTTGAAAGGGTTCAGAACATGGTTGCGTAGAGAAAGAGAGGTGGGAAAAAAATACGAAATTAAAGGAAAGTTGAGAAAGATGAATAAAGAGAAGAAAAAAATGAGAGAAGTAGGTGTTGTATGGCTAGAAGTATAAGAGGAAGAAGTAGTTGTAGTAGATGAACGACTAGAAGAGGAAGAAGAAGAAGTAATAGAAGAAGAGGTAGAGGAAGAAGAATAAGAGAGCGAAGATGAGAACGAAGAGGATAAAGATGAAACGGATTTTCCAATAGCAAAGAATGAAAGATTTGAATAAATGATTGATTTGAACTTTTCAGGTGAAAAATCTTGAAAAGCATGTGATATTAATATGAAGAGTACAAATGAGAGTTTTTGAGAAGAGAAAAGTGACGAGTTTCGATAACAAAAACCGCCTGAGGGCTTTTTGTAAGATGAACGTGTCAGCTTGTTGAATTTACCTATAGAATTGCTAAGATTTCTCATATGTAATGCGATCCGAAAGTATTTGTGTTTCAGATATATCATATAGTTCGTAGAGGATTTTTCTAATATGAGTTGTTATAGTTACCGTCTGGATTGTTGTTGAAGAAGACGAAGCTGTTGAAGAAAAATCACAAGTAGACGACGACGACGACGACGACGACGACGATAACGACAAAGAAGAAGACGACGACGACTACGAATATGCCATTTGTGGAAAAGAATATTCGTGATGAAGGAGGCTTACGGTTAGTTCATTCACGTTATTTCATCCTCTCACTACCTCATTCTCTCTCTCTCCCTCTCTCATCCTCTTAAGCCACTATTGCTCTCTTTAAACTTTTATATTTTTATTATAATTTTTTTTTAGTATTTCAAAGCACAAAATATAACAATAGAATAGACCAAAAAGTAATTTGCATTTTGCTTTGCAGCTGTCTTTTTAACTTTTCTTACTTCGATATTCATATGTGTGTTTGAGAGCTCACAACGACTTTCAACCATCTGGGATGTTGTCCACCCAGAACAGAGAGAAATATCTTTGGAACAAGTAAAATGAACGGTTATAAATGCCTTTGGAGCATTTACCCTCCTTCGTTCATTTCTTCACCTCTCATTTTCTCTCTCTCTGTCCATCTATATGAAACTCTCTCTCTCTCTCTATTTGTACCTCTTCTCTCTCAATCTCTCCACCTCTCTCTCTCTCTCTTCTTCATATTCATCGGTCTACAACAAATCAACTTTTCAAAGAAAAATTGAATTATTTCGTATGCAATTGCAAATAATTAAAAATAAAAAAGCTGTTCTTAATTGTTTTTGCATTTCCAAATAAGCCGACAAGTGAGATTCAAATTTCACGTGAATACGTGTTTTCTTGAACAAAATAAAGAAATGAGCCGAATATGGCCCCCGTGTTTTATATATTTTATTGTATAAATTTAATAATCTAACAAGCTCGAAAATACGATTTCCATATTTGGTCATCGCCAATTCAGTATTGAGAACTGGACACTAACTTTCCTTCCACCCAAACACACACATCTCATGTATTTTTTTCATCTGTCAGGCCTATATAGCCTAATGTTAAAGTTTTTGGCCGTTTTTCTGTTCCGTTTTTAGTTTCCTTTTTTTCCGGCCTATTTACACCTGTCATCTGAATCAGATTTTTTGCTTCATTTTTTGTTCATTTTTTAATGAAAACTAAAGTCTATCCTAGCGAATATTCATTGACTTACGAAAGCTGATAAGCTTTCTCTTCGCAACTTCAATCTCTTTATCTCTCTTGCTCTCTCTTCTTTGCATTCTCCATCTGCTTCTCTTTTTGCCATTTCTCTTCACAGGTTGTCATTGAACCATCTCTTCTCCTTTTTCAATGTTTTCTCATCAAGAATTTCTTTTTCTTTAAATTTTTTTTTTGCTCTTCTTCACAAGCAATTAGCTTTTAAGATTTTCTTCGCTTGAAAAACAATTTATGATAAACTCAGGTTTCTCTTCTCACTCTCTTTGCTAATTGTCGAAAGCCAAATAAAGTTTTAGCTTAGAAAATAGCAGAAGACAAGCAACACACAAAAAAAAGAATGATGACAAGAATGAAGAAAGAGCAATAGGTGATGAAAGTAATGAGTCGGAGAGAACAAGCTGACAGTCTGTCAGACAATGTAATTCAATACATAAAGACTTTAGCAAAAGCTCTACGAACAGTTTTCCTTCTTCACCTTCTCTCACTTCCATCCAATCTTCTCTTCATCTTATTTCTCTCTCTCTCTCTCTATCCATCTCTCTACGTTTCTCTCTCTCTTTCTCCCTCTCTATTTTCCTCTTTCTCTCTCTTCAGTTTCCTTTGAAGTTTTACCTCGTTGTATTCATTATAACACTCTCAACAGATTTTATTGAATTTTTACTTTTTTTTTTCTTTCGTCTTCATCCTATTACCAACAGGAAAAGGTTTTTTCGGTGTCTTCGTTGTCCTGTCTTCGTTATCCTCATACATATTCCTTCTCTTTTAAAAAATTTCTTGAAATACTTCTCTCAAATACCGGCTGGTTGAGAGAGCAGAAGAAGCCAGTAAATCGTTGTATTTTTCATTTCCTCTGCCCACCCTTTTGAGCCTTTGTATATCCATATCAACATTAGAGCTTTCAATGATGAATGTGCAGAAGGAAAGAAATCATAGATTTAAGCAATTTGAATATTTTTGAGTTTAATAAGGTTTCCATTCCTTATTTGTTTTTCTCTCATTCGCATATTCAAGCATTTTACCTAAAAAAGAAGAAGATGGAATACGATGAAGATGATGAAGATGAAGAAAGTTGCAGAAGGACGAAGAGTTTGTGAATAAGAAAAAAAAGTAAAAAAATAATTTCGTTCTAGCTACTTCCACAATCCATTGAACTCTCTCAATTGAGTTTGTACTTCCACCATCAATTTATTCAAAATATATTTCTGCAACAAAAATCTCCTTCAACATCTTCCTTTCTCTCTCTCTCTATTCATTTATATGCCGAACAGAGAATGGTTCGAATTAAACTCGAATTGCTCTCCTAGGCAGCTTGAGCATTTTTTCAGTTTATCAGTGGAACATACGAGAAGCTCAATTGCGAGTTAAGAATTAATTAAAAAACATTTTTTTCTGCTCTCGGATTAACTTAGAATATCCGCTGATGATCTAATTAGTCTTCAAACGATTACATAGAATATGTGCCCTTTACGACAATGATTCGAAACAGAATAGCCTGAGGGGTGGGAATAGTAAAAGGGTGGGAGGGGGACAATCAGATGTTTTTGTGATTGTGACAGTCTTGTTATTTCGATGCTCAAAAAGCAGATTCTCACGAAGCATCATTCACTTACTCTTAAACGAGTTGTATGAATCTGCCTGTGTCTATCTCATCCTTCTCACATCCATTAACTTCTTTCCTTTTTTGGTCGAGCACGAAAACGAACAAAAAAACGAAAATTAAATGAGAAGAGTCACATAGACTTTATAAAGTTATAAAAATTGCATATTTTGTATTAATTTCTTTTCATCAGTATTATTGTGTTGAAAAACAATTGTCACGAACTCTCTCTGCTTTGAATATTTCATTTAACTATATACATGGTTAGAGTATCATATGCTAATTATAGATTGTCACAACCTTACATGGAATATTCGTTTGATAGCTTGTGTTCTATCGTAATTTAACTATTCTACTTCATGAATAGATAATTTATAATAAATAACATTCGACTAACTGAATTTGAATTGATGATCGCTACACAGCACCATTTCGGTTTTTATTTCTGATCTGCCATCACGCTTCTCATTCTATTTTCGCCTTTTAAAAACCTCAAAATTGCCTAAATACACTCGAAGCTAAGTCTGTACACTGCTCAAGTTAAGCTCGTCAATGAATCGTAAATCAGTAAAAGTTCAGCATCAATGTCCAGTACGCTCCTTTGAGAATATAAAATTCGAAGACCTCTAATAATAAGCTGTTCATTTTATTTTTTCACACAAATTTCTAATTTGAATATGTGTAGTTTGCGTGAAAGGTACACGTGTGACGATGGTTAATCAGAAAGTCGCTCATTTGAATGTTTGTTAACGTGCAGAACGGTTGTGCTTTATGTCTTGAATTTGCATATCGAATAACGTCCCGTCGTATGTTTTTCGAGGTTTCAGATAGAACTTAACATAAACATTAGAAGAATAGTCAATAGTGAGAGTGTGATAATGAGTTGCAAATAAACAATAAAAATATATAAAAAATATAGTTAAAAAGATGCTTTAACTATACATATCATATTACAAGTAGTGTGATCTGCTCATCTTCTTCACCTTCTCACACCCAGTTCATTACAATATAAAACTTTGAATCTAAATTTATCTTTTCTTTTCCATTAAAAGATAGAGCGATGTCAATCATACAAGTCTAACAATTCTCAATTGGTTTTCATGTTCACCGTATATGAGTTAGCGAAGATATTTTCAACGTAAGCACATGTGGGTACGATGATGTATGTATGTAAGCGTGTGTCCGCGTATCTCTAGGAGTGTTGAAAACTAAAAATGATGAAAAAGGAACAGCCTTATTCAGCTTAAATGGCTCAATTTCGTGCTCATTGTCATGCTTAGTCTTTCTGCCAAATTTTTCTTCAATCCTAATGTTCTTAGATGTTGTTTTAAAGCATTTCCTTATTTAGACAAATCTGCGCATTTTCATTTTTTTTTTTGAAATTTCAATTTTTTTTTTCTTCCTCTTCATCTTCATGAATTGTGTGTGGCTTCACCAACTTGCCACATCTTTAATAATTGCAAATGTCGATTATTGAATCCTATTTATATAAATATATAGTTAAGAGATGCTCTTCTTCTCTCCAATCTAATAGATATCCTTGAGAGTTTTGTTACTCAATTTCGCAGATTGTGAGACATTCCACTCTTACTACCACTACCGGAAACTTACGTTACATCTTACTAACTAACATGCTTACAAGCTTAATCTTTAATTATCTATCCCATCATCTGTCTACACCCAATGTATTACAAATGACATCTTTCTTGGCTTACATGGAAAAGCTTAAAAATTGAATTCTAGACTAAAGCAAAAGCTGAAAACACAAAATTCTTTTTTATTTTAACCAAATCATAAAATAAAAAAAAATAACTGCGAACAACAGCCACATATCCTCTCTTCCTCTTCTCTCCATCGTGTCATGTTCGTAATTATAGTTTTTATTATTTAATTGCTATAGCACATTTTTTTTATTCTTCACAAAAATAGTCCTTCTAACGCCGTCCTCTTTTTGAAACCCAATGGAAATCTTATCCGGTGGATGAGATGGAGTAGCATTGCCTATGTTATTATTCAAATGTTGCTCTGTTCACTTTATGAATTGTATTCGGTCCATTGGACAGACTTCTTCAATAATTGAAAAACTCCCATAGTTGCTTTACCAGGATGGCACTTGGATTGTTTCAAATATTTGACTCAGTCGCTTCTCCTTCCATTTAACCATCTCATTCTTCCTCTCACTCTCTTTATCTCTAATTCACTCCCTCCCTATGTCTCCTATGCGGTCCTATTCAGTTCATCTCTTTCAAATTAAATCTTTTGTTTTCTGCTCATCATCAAACGTCTCAATTTGATTTTTCCTTTATCCAATCAAACTCCATCGTTCGACTGCTAATAGACCGTGCACTTCTCTATCTATCACATCTTCTCTACCGCACAAGACCTCACGTGAGCAGATTCCGAATATTCAAAATTCACGTAAAAATAGGATAGACGTGAAGCTTATTGTCATTCTGTGCACATTTCACAGCCGGCTGCATTCAATTTTCATTATTCTCTTAAAAGTTCTCCGTTTTTTTGTCGTTGGCTCCTCTTCTTCACTAACTTCAAGAGTTTTTGTTGTTTTTTTAACTCTTCCAGACCTGCCTGCTCGTTGATTCGCAAACGAGGCGAATTCTTTTTTCAAAAGAATATTGCGACCTCAACGTGAGCTTGTAATGTCTTTTTCTAGATGTATAGCCTTTTATGTCTCGTCGTTTCTAATTTTCATCCTGTCTTTTCTTTGCCTTTTTCACTTCCTTGAATATAACGCTTCCTGAGTTGCTTAAAAGCTTCAACGATTAACGTTAATTAGTTGAAGCATGTTAGAAAATCTAGATGCTCTTATAGTCCCCATACTTAATGATGATTAAAAATTTTTGAGAATGAGCTCTAAAATTCATTGAATACCTTTCTCTTTTGGGTGCAGTTCAATGGCACCCTTTCGAACAACTCTTAAACAGCTATGCACTCTGTGCAGGTTACAAATATGACAAATAGGTTTTGAAAGCCTTTTTTTTGGTTCCAATCAGGAAACATAATGTTCTTGGAGCAAATTAAAGATTAATGAAAATTCGTAAAAAAAAAAAATTAGGTGAAACAATTCGTTTTGAAGGATGGGTGTTTCATTTTCCGAACGGCATACGACAATGACCAAGTGCCTTCATTCTCCTGTATACATGTCTTAAGCTGCAGCATGCCCTTTACGAACTTATGAACTTAGTACAAGCTGTAAACGATAACTTGCCAGAATCAGTCTTAAGCTGTCATTGACAAGCAAGTGAAACGTTCGAAGTAAAGCTTGATGTAATCCGATATTCCGGTAATTGTTGGTCTAAGGGTCGGTTTAGCTCGAAGATGAAAAATTCTTACTTTCATTGCATCTCATCGCTTCTATATTTTCTTTATTTCTCTTTCTCTCATCCGATACATCTCTTAGAAAGCTTCATGCCCTTTATCTGTCTTATTTTACCTTGTGCTGGAGTACCTTTTAGGTCTTATTTCCCTTCTCCAGCATATAGTATAGAAGAAATGAAGATGAACGCCATCACATAGTTAAAGCGCCAACTTCATTCATTCTTTTTATTATTTTTATATTTATTATGCTCGTAACTCTTAGTGTCACATAGTGAAGGAGAGAGCTTCAAAATATAAAATAATTTAATTCATTCTTCTTGTTTTTCCTTAAGCAAAACAGGAAATATACTTAGACATATTTGTTTTTAACAAAGTTTTAATAACTTCTCATACACTTTCTCACTTGATTCTCATTTCCAAATGACTTTTTTTCTCATCATCGCCCCTCGCAACCTTTCCCTTGCCGTCCCCTCTTTGTCCAATTCATTATCAGTACATTCTCCACAGCCAACTCTCATGAAGGCTTTTTCTAGGAACGGTATCATGGATTCGGAATATCGAATAATTCTGAATGTAGGTGGAGTACGACATGAAACATATAAGCATACATTGAAGAAGATTCCTGCTACTCGGTTAGTTACCCTTTCAACAACTCAATTGGAATCATTTTCTCTTTCAGATTATCCCGTTTGACTACAAACTTGGCTAATTATGATCCTGTACTAAACGAATACTTTTTTGATCGGCATCCGGGTGTATTTGCGCAAATTTTAAATTACTATAGAACAGGGAAGCTTCATTACCCATTAGATGTGTGTGGGCCATTATTTGAGGAGGAACTCAAGGTTAGATAAACGCCTATTCAATTGTTTTTTTAAACTAAATGAATTGTAGTATTGGGGTTTGGACTCAAATGAATGCGAGCCATGTTGTTGGATGACGCTTTCCGGCACTCGAGACACGCAAGAAGTTCTCAAGACATTAGATGAGCTCGATATTGAAGTTGACAATGCAGATGGACAGGTAAAGATCTATCCTCTCATGGATATAACTTGTTCATGCAGGAGTTGTACAAACGGTTTGGATGGGAAGATGACTATCACAACGATAGTTTAAGTAAATGGCAAAGATTAAAACCCAAAATCTGGAGATTATTCGATGAGCCAAGTTCATCTCAAGGAGCAAAGGCATTTAATAGCTTTCACCATATGCTTTATAGTGCTTTTATGTTTCAGGTTATCGCCATCATATCCGTGTTTTTCTTAATCAGCGCAATTCTTGTTTTCTGTCTGAAAACTCATCCTGGTTTACGAATTTCTGAAATCATACCAGTAGGAAATATTAGTCGTGGAGCTCGAGCTGCTAGCAATAATAACTATAAATATCGACCAGCTCCATTAACAGTTGACAAGACCAATTCGAAAGCTCACCCTGGTTTCATGGTATAGCCAGTCATTTTCAACAAAGTATAATTAAGTTTTTAGATGATCGAAACATTGTGTAATATATGGTTTACAATTGAAATTCTTGTTAGGTTCATCGCCTGCCCAGTCAAGTGGGAATATCTAAAGGTGAATATCGGCATTCGTGATACATCCCATAAAAACAAGCTTTCAGGCGCCAGTAAATTTGATAGATATCGTGGCTACTTTGACATTCTATGTGGATCTCCTTATTAACACTTTTGGAGCATCCGCTGATCTCGAATTCTTCTCCATTATTCGTATAATGCGGCTGTTCAAACTAACTCATCATAACAGTGGCTTGAAAATCCTCATGCATACATTCAAGTGAAACTCTTTTTCGCTGCAAAAATTAGAAACCTTTAAATTTCAGAGCATCAGCTAAAGAATTAATGCTTTTAGTGTTTTTCCTTGTTCTGGGTGTAGTAGTTTTTGCTTCTCTCGTTTATTATGCTGAGCGAGTGGAAAATAATCCTGATAACCAATTCCAAAGTATACCAATTGGACTATGGTGGGCGGTAAGTCTTATTTCCCACAGTTGTTGAATTCAGAAGATTTTAAAAATTACTAAATGTTTGTTTTAGATCGTAACCATGACTACCATTGGTTATGGTGACATCACTCCGCATACATATCTTGGACGTTTGATTGGTTCGATCTGTGCTTTGGCTGGTGTACTAACAATTGCATTACCAGTTCCAGTGAGTTTCGAGTTTACTTCCTCAAGACAAATTTGAAAAACAGAGGTTGACTCAAGCCTAATGATCTTCATTGAATGCAACCAGTGCGAATAGTTTTTCTCATGAAAATGAAATCAATTTTGTGCCACGTCCTAATTAGCATAATTCCCTGGTTGCAAAGTAATAGAGGTCGAATTTTGAAAAAAAAAATTGCATATAGTTTGCTGTCGAGCAATATGGCCAAATTTATACTTCCAGGTTATCGTCTCTAACTTTGCCATGTTCTACTCGCATACCCAAGCTCGTTCAAAAATGCCCAAAAAGCGACGCGGCGTTCTCAGTGTAGATCAGGTAAGCTGTTCACCTAATTACGAAATTGCTTTTTGGAACTTTCGAGGACATGACATTGCATTATAAACTTAAAACGTTTTAGGTTAAGCAACATCCTCGCCAACACAACCATAATCATAATGGACCTCGTCGAAACCTTGAAAATGCTCCACTGATGAATAACAATAATAATAATAATAACCACACTCCACCACACACTTTGATTTGAAATTCCTCTCTATGTAAGAAGAGTCATTGTTTCAACTTCATAATCTAAATCGGTACCGGTACACTCTGAAAATTGAACTGTTTGAAATCAGAACCAATGATAAAATGGCTCAAAACGGTATAATTTCCAATCAAATGATCTCCTATGTCTAGCAAATAATAGAAATCTGATTGTGATATTCACATAATTAATAAGATCTAATTATTATTATAGATGTTTATTTGTAACTGTAAATTGACAAAGAAACAATCAACAAAATAATTATCAAAACAACTTATCCACAGGAAACAGGAAACCACACGTATTAAGACGAGATGAGTTACGTTACGAACGAAAATACCCAGTCTGCCAAGTTGCTACGCTTCTGATTCCCATAGAATGGGGTCAATTATTTTTGGTAAATATGTGAAGGAATAATGGAGAGGTACCAAACTTAGTGAAGATGATTTGAAACTCATATGAGCCCAGCTATCCTAGAGCTAATTTTCCTCTTTCACGCGATGATTGTCCTCGTCGTCATCATCCTCCTCTCTCTTCTCAGCATCTCTAATAGGCTCAGCAACCTCATCTACCTCACAGTTCTCATCATTTCCACCCTCACGATCATTCTCTTCTTCGTCTTCCTTCGACTTGCCTCCTACGAAACTCTTAAGAGTTTCACCTTCTTCTTCACTATGCTCCGCGTTCTCATCGTTTCCTGCAAGCTCACGCTCCAACTGCTTTTCACGCAATTCCATCAATCCTACAAACAGACATTGTATGACACAGAGAGCCAGAACGGTAACATACCCTGAATAAGTTTCTCACTACTCTTGAGCAACTCAAGAGATCTAAGAGTATGTTTTGCTGGACTAAAGAAAATAACAGGTTTTGCCTGAGTTTGAATATGATTCCGAATCAACGTATAATGCTTCTTCTTAGCTTCAGCCTGGAAAAACAAGAAAGAGTCCGGAATAGCCCTGTGTTATACTTACATATTGAATAAGAGCTTTTTTACGAGTAAGAGCACGGAGCTCGGCTTCGTGCTCTCTTCGTTTGTCGTGTAAAGCTCTGCGTTCTTCCATTGCCTGAAACCACATAAATCATGAAGAGCTAACGAAGTCACGCTACCTGCTCCTTTTCTTGTTTCTTTTTCTCATCTAATCTCTTCTCTATTTCACCCAATTTATCAGCCTTAAATGTATGATATGAAGAGTTGAAAGAGTCGGAACTTGTACCTGCTTCTTCTCAGCAGACTCGATTTTTCTCTCGTCTTTCTGGAATCGTTGGAGAGTTCCTATTAGGAGTGAAGAGAACATACGTCTATTTCTGAAAATATATTTGATTGAAACTTAATCATGGAATCCCTCATACCTAGATTGGACTTCTTTCTTTTCAGTCTTGGCTAGTTCTTCAATTTTTTCTTCTCTACTTTTAGTTTCGATTGACGGCATGACTACGGTAGACTGTAGGCTTCTATAAACATACTGATTTAGACAATTAAGCGGAAAATGAACAAAACCTCTTGGGCCTCAAATCAGCTTCATCATCCTCTTCGTCGTCATAGTCATCTCTAGTTCTCTTGCCAGGCCGAGAACCATAGGTTGTTGTTGATGATGATGATGAATTATACCTAAATAGAATATTATTTTGAGCAACTAATGAGGGAATCCTACTCGATACGTCTTCTTATATTAGCAGATCCGTTACGACGGTCTGTTGCAACTGGAGCTTCATTAGATAATCGTCGATTGCCTCTGAAAAATAATGTTGAGAAGGTCGAGGCAATTGAAGTAAAATAACCTTTCTCCACCCCTGCCGAAGTGTCCAAGCTCCCCATCAATTGCTCGCAGCTTTTCATGAACACGTTCAATATCTTTTTCGAGATCGTCCGTCATCTTGAATACACGTTTAGAAAATCAAATTAGCAAGCAAGTAACAAGTATTATAGTGTTTGAGAAACACTTGAAAAGTTGAAAAAAAAATGTAAAAAACTAATTTACATGATAAATTACTTCGGTAAGAGGGAAAAGATATAAACAAGTGCAAAGTAAGAAAGATCATTTACAATGAAAGTGGAAAGATAAGAAAAGGAGATAGAAATTGGGTGGATGAGAGATAAGTTCAGGAGATAGGTAGAGGAGCCGAGACGAGTTCCAGGGCAGGATTAAGACTTGTAATATACGACCGGTAAAATGAAGTGTGAAGCAGAAAAAAGCTTCTTGTTAGGACCAGTTCTCAATTATAACTAAAAAGCAATAAGATAAACGGATAACCTATAAGATACAAAAGTCATTCAATTAGATCCTCCCAACTACAAGAGCAGAAACCACAGATCCAGCCGGAAGTTCTGGTTGAGTTGGATTTGATGCAGGCAGAATTAAGAGCAGATTGGAGCCCAAAGTACTCATTAATCTGAGATGGTAAAAAAATGTGAATATCATGCGAAAAAAAAATACCTCGAAGAGCGTTGGAGTCCGGTAGTAATCGCAAGAGGCATTCCTTCATTGGCAACTAGCTTTGCTCTTCGATACTCTGGACGGGCGTCCAATTTAATATTCTCGGTCAACTATAATTTCGAAGCGTTATCAGTGATGGAAATGTTACGCGTCAACCTGCACGCGAATTTCGGTGTGATGGTGAGCAGTGTGCCCACCGACTTTTCTCAGAAACGGAATAGCGAAGAGAAGAGAACAAACCCAACTAGACACGGGATTTCCTGATAATGAATGGGTTTTCTATGTACTCATGTAATTACAAACCTGGAACAGCGAAGATGAACTTCTTCTCTTCATTGAAAGTTCCCGTGGCAAAAGTTGCTGGCAATCCAGGCTTCATCATTACTCTTCCGAAGTGAATCTAATATTGGTTGAAGAAGATATGAGCAGGTAGGACATACCTTGAATTTGAAATGATCTTGAAGAACGGATTTCAACAAATCCTTCTCTCCCATACTTACTGAACCAGAAGTGACTAATATTGGGGCGCAACTCAGGGCAACTTCGATAGATTCAATTAGATGTTCTCGACTTAAGCCAGAATATTGGTAAAAAAAATTCCCCGCAAAATGCTAACCTATCGCGAGCGATTCCTGCATCAACTTGTTTGAAACCGAATGATTGGAATAAAGCTAGTAGTTGTGGTCTATTGGTGTCAATGATTTGACCATCACGAAGTTCGTCGTAATCGTCGTTGGAGTCTACGAGCTGTAAACATTCGCAATATGTCAACCTATTGCTGATGCAAGTGAAACCTCGTTTCCTGTACTCATAACACAGACTTTGGGCTTACGATAGATTGGAATAGCCTTATGACCACTACCAATCAATATCCCTATCTCAGCTGGCCCCAAAATGCATCCTTTTTCCAACAATACTTCTCCCTGGGTTACATCGCTGCCAGGCTCTCTGTGACAAATACCAGTTATTTACGAATAACTTGTTAGAAATACCTAATGTTTTGACCAACTTCGACGGCGGAGCAAATTTCGATCTCAGTTTCTTCAACTCCCTAAAGATATGAAAACATATTGAAACTCAAGATTAATCTCACATTGTGTTGAACAAGTCTGGTTTGCTCAATCATTATAACAGCATCAGCGCCTTGGGGGAGGATAGCACCTTAAACAAATATTTTTCCATATGTCTGAACTACAGCAACGAACCAGTGCTGATGCGTACACATTGATTGGCTTGCAAGACTCCTTCAAAGGGTTTACCGGCAACAGATGATCCAACCATATTACGGATACCCACGCCATCCAATGCTAAACAGGAGAGTCAATCATTAGCCCAAGCACTATGTACCTTGAACAGCATATCCGTCCATAATTGAAGTTCGAGACCGTGGTACATCACTTCTAGCTAATATTCTCGTCGCCAAAACTTTTCCTGGAAAAGCGATCATGGGAACAGGAAGTTGATTATTGCAAACCTGGTTGTAATGAGCCAACTGGGACTGTTTTCCACCATGGTTCGTATGCTTCCGCTAAAACAGTGTTTATGGCATCTCCCATAAGTACAGCGGGCCATTTGCTAGTTCGTGCTCTTGTTAGTATAGAAGATTCAACAGGCTGAAAGTATTTTACCAATATAAAAAACGCGAAAATAATACGAATACTTGGCTTTCACTCATGATGTGCAACTCGACCAACTGCTCAGCAGTGGCTTCTCCGATACAATTCTTGGTTAAATTCCCTGAAGCCAAGAAAAATAAGAAAAAATACAAAAATATACATAAATAAACAAAAGCATTCCGCACGCCCGTTCAAGCATCGACGAACGCGGGTTTTCGATTTACCAACTAGTACGTAGTGGCACGAAGAGTAAATTCGCAGTTTACGACAACTTGCGTATTTCCTTATTTTATTCACAAATTAGTTAGAACTTAAGTTGAAAACCTAATATGGAAACAGAAACTAAGTTTTTGATATGAGAAAAGAAAGACAGTTTTTTCATTAAGTTCAAAATTACCTCAGTTGAGAGACAGGCTAGAAACATATAATGAAATGTTTTGAAATGAAAAAAAAAATTGGTTATCTTATCACTTTGTTTATAATCAGATTCTATTTGATGTAGGAGAATAGATGTTCCTTTTTTTTGAGTAATTTCATCGAAACGAAGTTTATAACTGTGGAAAAGAGGATGAGAAATAAAAAAAATGTATCGAAGTCGCGCATCTTCCAAACGATGTTCATATAAGGCAAAGCTATGGAATGCCGTCAACGACATGAAGAACCTTTCCAATCAAAGTGCAGTTGAGTTTGAATCAGCCATTTGACCTTGCTGCTGGCAGAAAGTGAATGTGAAATTGCCTTGTTAGATTTATCCTTTCAATCTTTTGTTGCAGCAATATGGATTTGTTGCTTGAACGTTCTCCTCATTCATTACCTTCCTATCGTTATAAATCTTCAGATTCATATAATTTAATAAGAGAGCTAATTGTAATTGAATCGTATAACGATGAAAACAACCGTATCTCAGCGTTTGTAAACAAAAATGAAAAGTAATGGAGCGTGGCTAATATGCTAATTATTCAGAAAAAAAAGAATGACTGATATATCCATATGTTAACAGATTTCATTGTGCATAGACAATATCAAAGAAAAAAAAAAGAATTCATTGATAAACATGAAAAGATGGTCAAAATATTGACAAAAGATCAAACAATATCAGCATGCTTGGGAGTTATGCCAACAACAGTATCGATAGGTTCTGATAATGGTTCGGGCATATAGTTGATATAGTCTTCCAATAATGGATCGCTTTCCGTATCTGTAAGTATGAAAAACATTATTTACAGAAGTTTAACACTATCTTTTCATTGTTTTATGACTTTCATTTTCGTATCAGATAGTGTGAAGCTATCAAGACTTACCACATTGCCACCAGCAGTTATGAGAGATTGTGATGAGAACAACTGCAATTAGAGCAATAGCTAATACGAAGAGAGCCAATACAGCAAAGGCAAAGCCAAGGGCTGCATGCTCAACAAACTCGGAAGTGACCATCATTCATCTAAAAGAAATTAATACAAAATAGCAGAAGCACGTGACCATCATTAGGAAATGCTGAGACAAAACAGAATAATAGAGAATGTATAGTTTGGACAAGAGGAAGACGTGGTTGGTGTGAAAGAATTCTGTTTATTTTTTTTGCATCTTGCCGGAAGAAAAAAAAGTTTTGGAAGAACGTTCGCAGAGAGACATATTAGACAAGAAGGGGGGGATGAAGCACAAAATCACATTCACACATCTCCCACGATTATCTCTCTATCTCTCTCTCTCTAAATCACTTTCTCTCTCATACTCCCATAACTGTGAACGTAGAAGTATTTTAAAAATTAAATTTTCATAATTATTTCAAACAACAAACAAATTAGAAGGAAGAAAAGTGGTTTTTTGAGCTTCCGCTCCGCAGAGAACGCTTGACATCAAACTAATGAAAAAGGAATTGATGTGGATCGTTTTGCCCGACACTAAAATGAACTAAATGATTAAAATTTCAAATAGATCAGCCATTAACTTTAAGAAATGTGAGAACATTCCAGCTTATTTGACCGTCTGTTAACTCGAAAGATCTATTTTGGAACTGAAGAGAAATCAGAAGCAGAAAAAAATTCTTCCAAATCAGCACTGAGATGTGAACATTGAGGTTTTGAGAGCAATAAGCTTGCTCACAGCTTGATATTCAACAAGTTTTGTTTTTATTTTCTTTTTTTTTTTTCTTAATAAAAACATTCTAAGAAAATATTTGTTTTACCACAAATCGCTTTTTAAAAAGGTTTTTACTTTTCTGAAGCTAAATTTAGAAAAGAAAAGAAGGAAAATGAAAAATAGTAAGAAGGAAGTGGAGATACGGATTGGTAGAAGAAGAGGGGATAAGTGAGAGATAAGAAGATTGTGTATGTCTACAAGTCATCCAATGGTCAGATGAAGTAGATTGTCTGCTATTTTTTTTTCTTTTCTTTCCTTTTTTGGAGAAAAAAAAATATGTATGTAAGTATGAGATATTTACTACCATCTCAAGTTGATGCACACATATACATGCGAAGAATTTCAAATAAATTTTATTCTTGAAATAAAAAAAAAGAGAGTAAACTTGTTAAAAAGCCTACAAACTCTTAAAGTTTGCAAATGATTGAAACGTCCTTCATCTTCCTCCTACTCTCTTTCTTTTTCTCTCTCACCCTTTCGTCCATTTCCAAATATGAAATTAAGGAGAAATTGAGAGAACTTCTTATATAGAAAATCTCATTTTCACACTTTTCATTCAGTAATTTCCCTCTTTTTTTCTTCCTCTCTCTCTCCCTCTCTCTCTCACCCCCTTCTCCATATTTGTCGAGTTTTTGTCTCTCATCGCCTAAGGCAGTTGAGTTTGTTGATGGAAGATTCGAGTAAGAAAAAGATTAAAAACTGTTAAATTGTATGTTCAAGGGTGCAAGCTGAACTTATCAATCAACTGGTATAATGAAGAGTGTGAGAGGTAGAAGGAAGGATGGAGGGAAAACGAAATCGATTGAAAGTATTGCAAAAAACTCTTGAAGCCAGCAATATATTTTCATATCAAATAAAAAAATATTGCCGCACTGAGGAATTAGAAGAACACTGTTAGGGGAGGGAATGCTCAAAGAAATGAGAATGTAATTCAAGATTCTGCAGATAATCGAAGGATTCTATAGCCATATTCGTGGAACGCACCCAAATAAGGAAAAAATAAGTTTTTAATATGCGTACGCAAAAGCTCAAAAACTTTATAGGCATTACTATTCTAATTTCATTAAAGTGAATGTAAGAGAATGCAAAAATATTATTCCATGTTTGAAAGTTTGACATCCAACTTTAATTGCATTTGAAACAGGACAGATAGAGAGAGCAAGAGAGAGAGAGAATACGATCATCTGTCTGACAAGTTAAAGAGCTGTTACTGAACTCCTGAAACCAAATATGGAAATATCATAGAAGCTCGGTGACAAATCGCTGTGGAGAAAAAAGAAAAAGCCAAGAAAAAGTGAACCCAGAGAGAGATAGAGAGAAAGAAAAAAGAGTAGAAAAATAAAGATTTCACGTAAACCAATGTCAATTGGTTGGGAATGTAAAATGAGAAATACAACCGCTCTGTCAGATGAGTTTGAATTGAAATGAAAAATAAATTTTTACGTGGAAATTGAAACCACGTGCGTATTCTAATTTTTGTTTCTCAAAAGTATATTGAAATTGAATTGATTCAGTTAATCATGATGTGATATTAATATGGGGGTTATAATACAATTGTAAGTCAAGATTCAACAGCTCAAACGCGGAAACAGCCTTTGCTAATGCAAAATGAAATTTCAAATGTACAAGGTGGAAGAAAAAATATTTTTTTCTCTTTCTGATCAAGCTGTAGAAGATTGAATGATCTAAAATGTATGAAAAGTGATGCAAAGAGCAAACGATTACATAAAAAAACTGGAATATCAGATGTATCTAACGTTATGTAGACCTTATTGGGAGCTTTGTGTTGAAGAGCAAGCAAGCATAATCAGTGTCATTTGAAGAACATAAGGATTAAATGAGAATTTCAAACGAACAAGGCTTAACTATTTGGTTGTTGTCGAGTCTCTGATGCTTAGTTTTCTTCTTTTCTTCTCATTCTCCTGTTTACATGATCTTTTTCTTCTTCTATTTTGTATGTATTTCATTTCATTTTTTAACAACAAGAAGAAAGAGGAAAAAAAAAGTTGAGATGGAAGACAGCGAACTTGATGATTTAAGAGAAAGCTGAGCGGAACGCTAAAGCAGTAACTATAAGATGGTTGAATAACGGGGGCTTGGGATTGGTGGAGGGGGGACGGGAAGGTTTCATATTCTCCTAAACACAACTTCTCATTCCACCCTCTCTCTATCTATCTCTCTCCCTCTCTCTCACCCTCTTTCTCTCATTTACTCTCTCCTCATCTTACTCTCTTAGTAAAAATGTTTAAAGAACGTAGCATTTTTTAAGGAACAAGACTATTAATCTTCTTCTTCGTCTAAATAACAATGCAAATGCCAGAAGTTGGCGTTTGCATGTGACATAGATGTATTGGTAATGGTATCATTTTGATAACAAAATGAAACACTTTTTCTTTAATTAAACATCAAGAGATCTTGCTGGAGAAGATCTTCTAAGTTGAAAGTTTCTGTGGGATTGCAATCTCTGTCCTTAAGGAATAGCTTAAACGAAAATAAAAAGAATGAAAAAATAACGAAAAATGCTTTGAAAGTCATGTGAAACGTCTTTAAGGTATGGAGGATGATACACCCCTACGTCTGTGTCAAGATGAAAACCCTGGAAAACAAGTTTGATGGTCAAAGTTGATTCGACAAAGTTTTTTTTATTTAATTTTATTGTTTGGTGAAAGAGGCTGAAGATGAAGCTCAGAACGGGATTTCAATTTATCTAAAAATGGACAAGAATTCAAAATTTATTTGTTTGTTCCGTTATCTATCCTAATCATCTATGCATTGAAATTTTTTTTTTATCTCTCTCCAGCTCTCTTCGTAACTCTCTGTCTCTCAGTAGGCTCTTGTAAGAAAAAAATAAAGGAAAGAAAAGCCGAAAGAATACGAAATATAATACATCTCTGTAAGGAACGATAGCCGTGTGTTCATGTTTTTAATTTATGTTAAGAGAGAAAGACAGAAAGAGATAGAGAGAGATATATGGATATAGAGAGAGAAAAAGAAAATGATATGGAGAACGAACAGGCTTGTACAACAATGGATGAGCATATATGATTAACAATAGTTTTCATTAAATGCCATGTAGGGACAGAGAGGCTACAATAATATTTCTTTCAATAACTATCATTTCAATCTCATCAAATGCCAATTTGAATTATCGCTTCTTCATATTTTAACTTATTTTTGTATTCTCAAATAAAATGAAAGCTTAAATGGATTGCATTCGAAAAGCTTAGCGACATCACCATATATGTAATTGCCTGAATGTGCTTTTATTTGATGAGTTGCGAAGAAAAAAATGATTGAAAAGTTGAAAAAATTGAAATTGAAAGAAAAAAAACGACCGTTCAGCATGTGCACACGAGAAGTAAATGCATATCTGAATCATTCACTCCACGTACTGTTCACGTCATTCTCCGCGTCACGCTTGGGAAGGTAAAGAGGAGGAAGTTGGTTTCATTATAAATGATATAATCGCCATGTGTGCTTTCCTCATCTGCTTCTTCAAAACAAAGAGCATCGATGAAGCTTCTCCAACCAAAAAGGAAATTACGAAGCTCTCATTGGCACGCCAATCAACTTTCAGTATAATGAGACGAAAAAAATTTTTTTCGCGTCAGAACTACCATGTATTAGATTGAACTGAATCAAATTTGTATACGAGCCGAGAGATGAATAAGTTAAGAGCAATAAAATGCCCTTTTATAACAGACAAATAGAATTTTTAAAATATAATTGAGGTGAATGACCTTATTTGGAGAATAAGAGGAGAATCCGTTACTTGGGCACATCAGTTATATCAATCTCAAAATGACGTCTATCACACATATCCTGAACTTCTCTTCCTTTCTATCCGCTTTCATAGCTATATTTGGAATCTATATGAACTTCTATCTTATTCATTCCTACCTTCAAGACCTTCATTACGATATGATTTCTATTAATAACGACTTCAAGGTATGATTTACCAACAATCATACCCTTTACAGCTCTCTCTGATATTTAGGATAAATCCGAACAGATCTGGGATTCATTGAAAGCGTTCAACATCAATCCTGGCGTATTACGTCATCGACGACAAGTATATCAGATTTTTGATTAAGATTCACACATATTTTCGTTTTCAGACAATTCAACATATGATTGGATTTCCGCTATCTACTTCTACCGTTGTTGGCTACAGCCAGTTTTCAGCTGTTGATGGCTCACAGCATAGAGATATCCGTCGTAAACCCTCAAAAAAAACTAGAAAAAATAACAAAGTTCATCTTTCTTAGCATTTTTGAAACTTAAGATAACAATTTTGTTTCAGCAGACAGAAGAAGAAAACAAAACTGATCAACTTGAACGAGAAGCTCTTGAATCAAGTTCTTACGGCTTCAGTGTATCTTCACCATCATATTCTAAAGAGTAAGAGGGACATTTCTATTCAAGAAATTAAAACAATGCATCCTTAGCTCTTACGACACTGTCGAGTCTCAATCGTATGGTGCGCCTGCTTCGTATCCAACGCTTGAGTCCGCACCGATAGAGTTCAGTTCGGACTTTGAGTTAAAACAGGAGAGAAGAATCAGACCAACATGCAGTAATTTATTGCTTCATTTCCTTAACCCTCCTTAAATCCGTAGATTGTCCTAAAGAGAACAAATGTCCTGCTGGTTCAGCAGGTCCTAAAGGGGAACCAGGGCTGCCAGGGTTGAATGGAGAAGATGGAACGCCGGGATTGAAAGCAACAGTAATCATGTTTCTTATTCTATCATGCATTGGTTTTTTTTCAGGATCAAGATGATGTGATGATTCACATCCCTGTTGTATCTCATTGCATCTATTGTCCTCAAGGTGAGCCCGGTTTACCAGGTGCAGAGGGAAAGAGAGGTTGGTTTACAGGCTTGTTGTAAAATTAATTCTCCCTTTTAGGGCAAAGAGGTCTAAGAGGTTCTCGAGGCATTCATGGTTCTCCAGGAAGAGATGGACTTCCGGGATCACCAGGTATCGCTCGACGGTGTCAATATCCAAGTCAGGTATTTAGGTATGCATGGCGCTGACGGTCCACCAGGTGTAGATGGTGAGGTGGGCGCGGCTGGATCCTCTGGAATGGACGGCATTGCTGGCGCTGGAGTACCAGGGCCAAAGGGCCCTCATGGACAAGAAGGAGAAATCGGAGAAGCTGGTGATATGGGAGTAGATGGAAAAGAAGGCCTCATAGGATATCCGGGCACTCGAGGACTGCCTGGTCCCGTTGGAGCAAATGGAAATACTGGAGAAGTGGGAGAAGCTGGCATAGAAGGAGAAGCAGGTTTAAAGGTTATAAATACATGTTTGTTAATTCAAATTTAGGAAATGATGCTGAGTATTGCCCATGCCCCAGAGTTCGCAGAGAGTATTCTCCATTAACGAAACGATTGTTGTAAACACCACGTATGCAAATGTTTCTTCGTCATGACGTCATAGTGAAATAAAAATAAAAATCAAAACTTTCTCCTTCTTCATCTGTCTTATTGCCAGAATGATAATCCAGTTTCTACATACTCTCTGTTTTTAACATTTTCAATGAATATTTCATAGAACAACCGAACTGTAAGCTAATTTTTGAAATAAAAAAGAAAAATTTTGCAAAAAAAAAGTTTTCGTTCACGTTGAAGTTCACGTGAACGTTCTGAAATTAGAAGGAGGAGGAAGTGAAATTTCAATTTTGATGTTTCTCATGACATCTTCTATTATATAAATATCTTTTCGTTTCGTTCTAGCCCCACAATCACGGCCATCTGTGTTGATTGCTTTTTTCTTTTTCATCTATAAATTCCTTGAGCTAAAGAATGATTTTTATTGTGCACAAGAGAGCACAGAAGACAAAAATGAGAGAAAAAAACAAATTTTTTCCGTTTTTACCTTTTTCAGAGTTTTCATTCTCTCTTCTTGCATTGAGTTCTGGTGGTCTGTGAAAATCATTAATGTTTGCTATCATCAATTCATTCGATCTCTGCAGATGGAGCAAAGATGAAACAAAAAAACTGAGGAACAATTGAATACGACGTCCCACCAGAAAGCAACGAAATGAGTTGAAGAATAGATATCCATTATCTCACTTATAAGCTAACTCAAAGCCGTCTTCTTGTCTCGCTTTCACTCCGTCTCCCTCTCTCTCTCATCTTGCTCTTATATTCACATACACACAAAACTGATCATTCTTGTGATTTTTCGAGATTTTTGTTTGCAAAAAAACTTTTTCTCTTCGAACGGACAGCATCTCTACATCCTTCCTTCTCATGTCGTTCTTGTATCTTTCAGTATTCCAAATGACGCTGAATAGTGAATGTTGGCAAATTTCTTCCATTACTTCGTTTGTAATATTCTTTCTGAGAAAAATATTTTTTTTTATCAAATTTTTCCTTTCAGATTTTTCATTCTTTGAACAGCCAGATAGTTCTTGATCCTCTACCGATCTCCTTTCTCGTCATCAACAACCTAGAATTTCGACAAAATTTCAAACTTTCTTCATTAAACTAATTAGCATAAAGCTATACCAAATTACTTCTGTCTTCGTACCTTCATTCACATCATTCTCTTAATCTATGCATTCTAAGTGTGAAACACTGAGAAGAGAAAGGCACACAGATAGACAGAGAGAGAGAGAAAGAGAGAGAGAGAAGGGAAAACTTTATGGAGGGTGGGAGCCGCAACGACCAAGTGCCTCAAGTCAGATGCCTACTGAGAGGAAAGTAGAACAGAGAAGCAAAAAAAAAAAATTTTTTTTTCTCCTTCAGTTCTACTTCCATATTTCCCTCTAATATTGGAGGCAAAGCAGGTCGTTTCCTAGATAAAAAAAAAGTATTTTATGGAGAGAAAAGTGCGTTTATAAGAGCTTTTTTATATATTTTTGATAAGAGGAACGACGTTGTGACAGCGGGTGGAGGTGAAAAAACGACAATAAAATTAGGATATTTTGGCAAGTAAATCATTGTTTTTGCAACTGAAGTTTGAATTCAATTAAGTTCGAGAAAAAAGCTTTATTTTATATTTATATCTTTGTAAATATTGCTTAGCGTGTACTTGCGCTACAGGATGGATTAAAGTGCTTTGCGACCAAGCTGCCTGCCCGCATGCATAGCCATTTCTCCTCTTTCACTTTGATTTTCTAAAAACCATTCAGTTCGCTCTCAATTATGCATTCAATATAAACTATTATGTCCTTTTATCCGTCCAAAATTTCATTTTATCTCAAAAGGATGAGTCTGACCGTTATCCTTCGCTTCACTTCCCCTCTCCTCCAGCTTACCCTCTCACCCTTATTTGCTGCATTCGCCAATGAATGCTGCTCTTGCCTGTCTCCCTCATTCTCATTCACTCTTATTCCATTTTATATCATTTTCATATGCTCTCTTAGCTTTCTCGTGCTGCTGTTCCTCGCATTCAACCGTTATCTTCATTTCTCAAAAAATTCTCTCTCTCTTTACTTTTCATTTAAAACTTTACAAATTTCTCTTTTTTTCTCGTTTACTACACGAATTCCCATTTTCGGAATACATTAGGCAAGCTAACTGTTAATAATGCCTCCTGTTTACTCCATTAGAATTTTTTTTCATAAACCTCCCATTTTAACCGTTTTTCGATCTTTTAAAACAATCTTCCCTTGAGGTCAATCTGCTTTGCTACCAAGAAAGCAAATTACAATTGAGAGAGAACTTCCTACACTCGCTGCTTCGTCTATTTTTCTTCTACTTCAATAGGAAGAACTTTCCAACTTAATTTTCAAGAACAATGCCCTTTAATCTACAAAAACCCAGAAATCAATGATTTCCTTTCACGAAAAGCACGTCATCATTCACGTGATTACACATGCTTTACCATAGAACCATGTTTTCGAAAAAAATAGAGAAGAAATTGAAAAGATGAAAGGTTTATTTGAAACACAACAACTTGAGTGAAAGTCCATCCAAATCAGCTCTCGTCCTCCCTGTAAAATGAAAATTTAGAAATGTGATGGGGATCATGTCAACAAGTCTTCTCCATTCTCAAACACACGAAGAAGTCGAGAAAACCTTTTCCCATGACTATCCT